TCTTAAGCCTCTAACTTTGTCAACAGAAAGCCCAAATTACAATAATACAGGGCAAATCAGCTTACCTTTCAGTTTAAGAAGCTAAGACTGGAGAATTATTTCAACTTATTCCACCGTTGCTGTAAGGTTTACTTGGAGGAAAGCAACACTGGCTCAGATACACAATGAAAGCAGCCTCATGAATTGGATTAACCTGGTGAGAAAAGCCAAAAAGTGTCAAGAAATCTACTAAAAAGCAACCCCCCCCCCCCCCCCCTTCTTTGTATCACTATAAGTCATCAGGAATTACTTGCCAAGTCTGACACCAATATGCAACGCAGGCAATTTCCACTGTCACCCCTGACATTGGTGCCACCCTTGCGCTGGTGGCGCCAGTTCATAATAATCAGATACATGAATATGGAACACACACATTTACAGCTTGTACAGTTCCATGTGCCTACTGCCTGCTTCAGAGATACATGCAGAGGAGTATCTGTGAGGGAACGTGACATTTTCCTCCCTGAACCCGGGTGACACCTATGTGCAGATGTGGTGGAGAGTGTGGGTTTGAGGGTGTTGGATTATATACCGATGGTGGCACACACACACTCACTCACACACATCACAGGGCTGCCAAGTTTCAGAAAATGAGAGCCTGAGACTTTAGCGTTATGATGTGGTCAGCAGTGAAACATTTTTTTGCCTTTTTTAACGTCAATTTGTACCTTAAGACTAATGTCCTCACCTCCATGCCAGCTGCCCTCCCTGCACTGTGGCCTCCTAATGCTAGTCTCAATTAGCCAGAAAGTAGAAATCAGAAAGTGGGTTTTAAATGTCGGCGCTGTTGCGTGTGAAAGATAGTCAGAGACGCCAAGACCTGCCTTACGTTGCTTCTGATTGGTTTAAATTTCGTGGTGCCTTCTGTGGTTGGTTAGATAAAAGGTCCTTACACACCGGGACGGAAGCGAGACGACTGACACAACATCAGATTGACTGTTTTTCAGTTCTGATTAGACACTAGTGTTGAGATGGCTGTCTATCATAATAGCATGTACTCAGTCTGGGCCAGTACCAGATTAGCACATTTAACTATAATCCATAAACGTAAGGTAACAACCGAGACCTAATGGTGCTGTGACGGCAACGCAATTGAGTTTAAGACAGAGAAAATACATACGGTCTGTTGTATCTGAACAGGTTAGCTTACAAGCTAAAGTTACTTAGCACAGATGAAAGTTAAAACACAGACGTTTAGCAAACTGTTAAAGCACACAAACCATCATCATATGAGAGATCCAACGCTATGACTCTCCACAAGTCGTCCTTCAGGTCGTTATCTTTGTATTGTTTGTGTCTTTTATCATAAAAGACTCTGTTCTCAGACACAAAAACAATCAACCGGTCGGCCATGTTGGATATACAGGTGAATCTGACACACAGTATGCGAAACTTTAGAAAAATCAACCGTGATCCGAAAAAATAAATGCCGCAATATCGCAGGATGGGAAAATTTTGCTGATGTGAACGCTTGTATTGACAAGATACGGGTTAAAAAAAAATTGATGTCTGAAATAATTGCACAAAAAAAAAATGGTCCCAGTGTGAAAGGACCTTTAGGCACAAAGGACTGACAGATTGGTTATCTCGGTCATTCAATCAGAGTTACTCAAACTACAGCAAGCAAAGTTTAATATCATAAACAAACAAACACAGAGTACTGAATCGGGAAATATAAGCGTGAGAAACGTCAAGTGGGGCATGTGGTGTGAGAATGGGTCAAATCGCGTGACTGTCACACTCAAAGCGTGAGGCTCTGCAGCTCTGCATTCATGCCAAAACTCACCAGCAGGTTTCTGTAACTTCAGAGCCCTCCACCTGGATGTTATTGCAGCCCGCGGCGCCCTGCTCCACCTCTCTAATGAGCCCACCTCAACTCTGTCAAAGTCATCTGATGACACTGATGTGAGAAGATTGATATTCACGCCTGACTTGCTGTCCTCTCCACTTGACTGTTTACCTCCCCACACAATTAGTATCTGGAGAAGACAGACAGACAATAGAAGGAGAGAGGGGAGTGGAGTCAGACTCTGCAGTGTGTTTTTGTGCGACTACATTAGCCCCAATTGTTTATAAAGATGGGAGATGTCTTTCAACGTGGCTTCAAGGTGGCTTTCTTTATAACAAGGCCATTATTGCCTCATTTAATCCCTATAATACTGCTTTACCTCTCTGAATGTCAGTAACTTGAAATAACCAAAGCGGGATTAGCTTAAGTAAAATGCATATTTCAACAGTTTTGCTCCAAATTTGCATCTCAGACGTGCCTCTCTTTGGCCTTTCATGATGCACTTATGAATGAACCCACCGAGTTAACTCCCAGGGACTGATGGAGCAGGTCCAACTTCTGCCCACACAGCCCTGTTTACATTTCTACCCTTCCATCTCTGCGAGCTAACTTTCATCTGAATCTTAGCATACAAACAAATAAAACACTTAAGAGAGGAGAATTGTCTGCCCACTCTCTGTGAAAAAAAGAAAATAGACTGTGTTGGGGGGGGAGTGATTGGCATGAGCAGGCATTTGGCTGAGTGTGAGGAGAGAGAGAAAGGCGCCAAACCAGCAGCCATGTCTTCAGACTGATTTAGCATTAATTGACATTCTCTCTAATCGGTGCATTCGCCATTTGAACACAGTGATGAAAACGGTGTATATGCTGCATACTGATGTCTACCTGAGCAGGGAATGAGCGGAGCTGAGCTCATATAGCAAGTGGACACTCAGGTGAGCAGAGGTTGTGAACGACAGCTTGGCAGAATGGACGAGAAGTTTGTGTGGACCCACAATGCCCCCTTGTGGACGGACTAAGAATGGATTGACGCTAGGTTTTTCAGCAGACTGTATCCTCTCAGCTTCAGAGGGAACTCTAATTGAATTAATTTACTTTGTTCGGTTATTCCTATTCATTTCAAAAGAACATTGAGACAAAATTTGTTTTATTACAACCAGCGCTATTTACAGGAGCTTTTTTGTGACTTCTTAAATGTCTGATAGGGATTCTCACCCAGGACATGGCCCCCTAATCTTTAGGGAATCTCTGCATAGATGCCAACATCTACTGTCCCATATAGAGACACAAAGAATCACACCAACCTACACACAAACTTTAGGAGAAAACATTTCCTTTTCCAGCCTCTTAAACTCACAAGACTCTGATTTATTTAGGCTTGTGAAGGTTTCAGGAGTGCTGAGTCATGACAGCTCTTTTCCCCATGAGGAGGCTACTCCAGCTTTTAGGGTTTTCATTGCGTTTACCTATTAGTCTACTGCTTGTGGGGCCAATTTCACCAAGTTAGATATTTGATCATTTCAGAATAGAAAATAGATGTTTATTGCCTTATTTTGCACAGGTAAATTTGGGATTTTTGATTGTTGAGATTGGTCGAATAGTTTTGAAAAGTTAAATCCAGCAGGTGCAGTAGCCGATCTTTGCCAGCTTCTGGTTTGCGCAGACAGCTTGAGCAAATATCACCTGGAAAGCAGTCAAAATATGTAGCCGTATCAAAGTAGAGGAAGTGCTGTGATCTCATTAATACAACTCCTGAGGGTGTACACTTTCTAACACTGTATCATACCTTTAAGTCGGCATGAAACTCCTGCCAGAGCCACATTTGGAAAAACTCTGAACGCCGCACAAAGAGGAAGCATCAAAATAATGACAGAGGGCATTTCCCAGCATTACACAAATGCAAATGAGCTAGACGGCTGTTGTTGCTTGAGGAGTGCATGTTTAAACCAGAAAAACTCAATATGCGGCATAAAACCAGGTGTGATAGCTCAATTATTCACAGACATGAGAGGGTATCAATTTCCCCCTGGCAGGGCTGAGTCTCAAACTTCTAATGCTTAATTGACAAAGTGCACATGATGCCAAGGACTTAAAAAAAAAGATGTTTAATTAAGTATTATAGGCTGTAGGAGTAGCTTAGCCTGCTGATATGCATAAGTACATACAGGGTTTGATTCATAGGGAGAAAAATAGAAGTCAAATAAAAAAAGTCTGCCTGAGGCTTGTGCAGAAATAGATGAATGCTTGACAGCACTCTACCCTTGTACTGAACCCTGTGACCTGACATTGAGGAAGCAGTGCTACACTGTAGGTAGAAAGGTATCCCAGAATAAAAAAGTTATGTAGAAGTATGTTTACAGCAAACAACAAGCGCACAACTTAGAGGCTTCAAATCAGATCATGGGAAGAACCCTTCATTAGGCTTATGTTGGTAAAAGAGACATGGCTTAAACTATTATCTCACCAAAGCTGAAACTCTTTGGCGTTAAAATGCATCTATCTATCATTTGTGACCCTAAACAGTCACATTGATAAACCTGAAATACTCTAAAACACTTAAAATATTCCAAACATCAACTTTAACTTTTTAAACTTTAGAGCTCTGCTGACATTTCAGCATTTAAGAATATGTAGATTCTTAATTTGCACTTCAAGCTAGTTTAGGATCCAAATTGAGAGTGCCTTAAATAAATTGTATCATTACATTCGAACACTTACATTCAAAATTGTAATCTTCAAATACTTGTTTAAAAATGCTGAAGTACACACGAATACACCGCTAACAGCAATGGAAAACATCTGCTCAATGAGCTTACGCTTCATATTTGTTTTTTCAATTTTTCGCACAAATTGTTCGGAAGTAATGTGATGCCTGAAAAGTGGCAGAATATTAATTATTACAAACAGAAACAGCAGCGAGGAAAGGGGACAGTGTGGCAGCAGGCGCATCCTGCAGCTCTTATCTTAAATGAGTGCATGCAGTGTGCTGTCCCAGTCCATAACCTCACCCTCTCTGGCACCTAAATTATAGAGCTGGAAACCTATGGGACATAATTTGCAATTTAAGTGGACAATCATCTGTTGAGTATAAGCGCAGCATTGCAGGGCCATATGGCATGTTCTAGGTTAAATCAGTGTCTGCTTTTACTGACCATGTGAGAGGTACAGATCTTTTACGTGACAAAGGAGACAGCTGAGTCCTTCTCAAGTTAAATAAAAATTACATTTTATGACGAATTTAAAGCTAATTTCCTGCTGGTTTTAGGGTGCCTGATACTTGGAGAGGCTTTGGGAGAAAAACAAAACACCTCAGATGATCATTGACCTGATTAAAAAAACTACTACAGTTAAGTACAAAAAGAAATATACCAAAACTACCCAATGCTACCCAGATAAAATAGGCATAGTATAAAATGAAATGTTTTGAAGTCTAATACTACAAAAAAAGTTAGAAAAAGTTACTTAAAAAGAAGGCAAGTATCCACCACAAAATGTGACACTTAACCACAATCAGTTTGCAGTTTTTTTCCTTGAATATAAAGTAATGCAGGTATTTTACAATAAGTTAACCCAGGCACATCTCCCTATTACTACAGCAAAACCAAGTAACAGTCAAATGTTTCACGTAAAAATACACTTTACTTTTTTAATTTTTTTGGCAACAATTTCACACGTCACACAGGAAATCAGGGACCAGCAAAAACTTCTGGGTAGCAACATTTTTGGTTTCTTGAGAACATGAAACGTTCTGTGTCCACAACTGTCAGTCTGCCTGTATTAGCTCCAGAAACGCACATACTGTACTATTGTGTATTCAAACCATATAAATATATATATATATGAACAAAAATATCCAAAACACTTTTTTTTTATACAAAAAACAGATTAATGCCAAACAGAAGCTTATGATTATAAACTTCAATAACTTAAAAATCCAAAGGGGAGTATTTTCACCCTTTTATGAATATGACACTTTAGCCCTAATCTTTTTAATACTAAGGCTTTTGCACTTTTTTTAATCCTTCTTGATCATACAGCGCTATCGAAAAGCCCTCAGTCTTCAGTGCCAAAAATGTGTCAAGTATAAATACTAAAAAACTGCTGTGCAGTACCCATTTATGTCAAAACTAGAAAATAAGTTAGTGTCAGGTAACTATACAGATTTATTTACAGCTTAAATACAGAGGAAGGTTTTTTTTTTTTTCTTTTTTTCCCAAATGTCCAGAACCAATCTGAAAATGTGACAATGACATAAACACAGGCTTTGGCTACAACAGATTCACTACAACTTAAAACCCTGTTAGCAAGCAAAAAAAGAGTGTGGTGTTGTCCATTTAAGCTGCTAAACGCTTCTTTAATTAACTGAACACAGCCATGTTGTTTGGCTTCTAGTCCAAAAAAGGGCTGAGTTGAAAAACATATGCATTTGGTGTGATTTCCAAAATTTTAAAAAATATATCGCATGTTTTTTTTAACCTTGAACTGATGTAGGAAAATGAAAGCCATGATTGGTTCAGTGAGGGAGCAGTCTTTACACACAGTTACAAGCCCGGAAATGGTTAGACACATTCATTTCAGCAGCAGCCGTTTCCCATCGGCACATGGAGGAGGAGTGTGTGAGAGTAGGAATGAATGAGGGAGAGAGACAACACCTGTTACAGCAGGTGCCCAGTAAACATCTGAGTCTCCAGGAGAGACAAGACAGAGAGGGACACAGAGAGAGGAGGAGAGGAATGTATTTGGTAGAGGAGAGGTACAAGTGTGCATTTGTGTATTTGTATTTGTGTGTGTGTTTGTGTGCACAGAGAGAGAGTCATTATTAGTCCACGTCGCTGAGGTCACTGACTGGCTCGTCCTGCACAATGCTCAGGTGGTTCATGGCCCGGCTGAAGGCGATCTGGACAGCCTTACGAATGCTGGATGTGCGTCCTTCCATCATTTTGATTTTGTCTATGGTTTTGTCCATCCCCAGAGGGACCATCTTGGATCTAGGAAGCCACTGCCTGAAGGGGGAAAACACAGATTGTGAAGAGAACCTGAGCGGAATGTGAACAGCACCTGAACAGACGTTTGGGTTGAGTGTGTATAAATCAATCTGAAAGTACTGCTCCCCTGGGATGGATGTGTCACTCCCTTTCCTCTAAAAACAGGTTTACACAACACATTGTTTGGATTCTTTCAAAGAACAAAAGATGAGTTTGTTGCGTTTACTCTCATATTATTCTGGTTGAAAGAAAAAAATTAATACCCATAGAAAAGGGAATTTAGTGTGAATTAAACACTTAGCTAGCAGTTTTAACAAAGGTGCTTTGTTAAAATGGTTTGGATTAAGAATTTAATTAATCAAAGCTTGGATCAAACATTGTATGATTACATGAAACTCAGCTCTACGTCAATTGTGTATGTGTACTGTTGGGCTGGGCAATAAAACAATAACGATATATATCAACAATTAATTTCCCTCAATATCAATATAAAACATGGTCAATATCCTTTTCGATAGTTGGTATTCTGTTTTGGTAGACTATACGAATAGCCAATGAACAGGGGAGTTGCTTTGCACTGAACCAATCATGTGTTGAATATAGGCTACTGATGGTGCCTTGAATAATACCGGTTTCTTTCATTTAATGTTCATGTTATGGGGATTTTTATATAAAGGAAATTTGTCTTTTGTGTCTGTTGATGAAGACTCAACAGATGATGACATGATCAACAACACTGGCACGAAAACATTGATGGTGTGGAAGTATTTTGTTTTTTTGAGGTCGGATATGAAGCAGAGTAATGTGCGCTGCAAATTATGTCGAGTAAAATATATTCTCACAAAGTCTGGAAATATCTCAAATCTTTTTCACCACCCCAAGCAGAGCAAGGAGCTCATGGCACCTGTGCAGCCGAAACAACCGATCAGTCAATCTGCTTTCTCTAGCGCAATGCCTTACGATAAAAATACGTCAAAGAAACAGAGACCTCACAGATGCAGTAGCAGTAGAAAAAATATATTATAAACTTTTTTCCCATATTGCCCAGCCCTAAAACTGCGTCTCATTTCATGATAAATTGGTGTCAAATTATGGAAACCACAAAAATTACGAATAACTGCCCCTCCATATCGATGCTCAAATCTGGTCTTCGATAAATTCTAGATAAAAACAATGATGAATGTCAAAGTCGCCCAGCAAAAAGCTAAAGTGGGCTTTAGAAAGAGTTTTTATTTACAGGATGGTCAGCGAAAGAACACTGCAACCTCAATTCATGAAATCAAACCTTGAACATCTGTATGATTGGATGCTGCTACAACACACAAACCCCTTTTCAGTTTTTCTTTTGACCATCCTTTTAGACCATTTTATAGATTTTTGGCGGCTTCAGTTCTTTTTTTAGCCACCGATAAAAGTCAGTTGTCACTCTGACACAAAGGCTCCACCGCAATCATCACTATTAAAGGCTGAAAAACATTTTTCCTGTGATGGAAGTCCAGGTGAATTTTTTAGATGTCTCTTGAGGCCAGAGCCACTGGTTGTCAAGTTGACACACGAGAATAATGATCAGCTGATGGACAGGTTGACAGGTTTACCCTGGCAGGGACCTGCAGCAGCTTAAAAAAAAAAAATCTCCCTCCGATCACTGCAGAGCACTCACCAGCTGCGCTTGTTGTCGAAGAAGAGGACGAGGTAGAGTTTCTCTTCGGCTTTGTACTGCATCTGCTCGCCAATGCGGAGCACGTCCATGGGGGGCATGGGGATGGACACCCCGTTGTGCTGGCAACCCATGCGCGGCATGTGGGGGTCGATGATCTACACACAGCGGGAGGGTGCCAGAGGGAGTTAAACACATGCTCATGAATGCAAACGAACGGCAAACATACATTCACCTGGGAGAATAACTCAAGCATATCGTAATGATGTCTATAATGTACACACACACATACATACATACGCGCACACACACACACACAGAACCATGCACACCATCAGCTTGTGGCAATAGGATTCTTCTCTCATGTGTCCTTTCATGCTAAGGTCGAACTACACTGGTGAACAGGGAAATGCTGCCACCTAAAGGACAAACAGGAGTGAGTCTATCTTTTTACATTGCTCTATTCTGTTGGAAATAAAGAGCCATAATCAGGTTCCAGTGTGTCTTTGTGTAAAAAGATGACAAGAAAACTTCAGAAGAATAAAAAAAAAAGGATATTTTTTAATGATTTTCATGCTTTCTCTCCAACAAACACTCACCAAGGCAGGGTAGGAAGGGTATCCACTACATTTGGCCCAAACTAGCTTTAGTGGTTCCAATGCAACTGTTGCAGCACTAGCGGGCATCCAAATATTGCTGTTGCCAACCTCTATGGAAGCGGGAACAACACCAAACAAGTTACAAGAGGGTTTCAACATGGACACAAGCATGTCTCCAAAAGCTGAGCAGTGAGTGCAGGAGGACACAGCAGAGCAGGGGAGGAAATTGACTTTTCTCTTCGAGCCACAATTGAACGACATGTATTAAGATTTAGCAGCCTCTCTTGGCTTTCTATTCGCCAAAAGTGAATTTAAGATGAAAGAAGAGTCTCCTGACGCCGACTGGTCACACGCCATGATGGCAGGAGTAAAAAGACGACTTTTGGTCACTGCCAAAAAGTCACACATTACTGGCTTGTGGCGGCTGTTAGTTTCCAACCTTGCTTTGAATGTGTGTGTGTGTGTGTATGAACTCCAGGTGTCTGCAAGTTTGATCGAGTTAAACTTTTGAGGGCAAATTCATTTTTGGAGATCGAATGAAATAAGATTAATCTTCCAGTTTACACCCTCTAACGCTGTCAGGATTTTAAAGGACCTGCAGACACCCGGGATAATTCTACTACACTGTATAACCCACAGGGAACTGCCACTGAGTACGGGGCAAGACATGGTGAGGAGGCTCCGGGAAATGTTGCATATGTGTTATAAATATACCAATATTAATCATAAAAACGGTCATCAATTTTAGTGTCTGTTTTTATGTTTGGAATAGATTCTATCACTTCATTGTAACATTGAATTTTTCTTGACTTCCAGGCAGCTGAGATTTTCCTGTATGAAGGTTGTGTTGCAGTTCTTTGTCGCAAATTAAAGGTTTTCTGGGTGTTGTTGGTTAGAATGTGAATTCTTGATACAATTCACCATCTTTGAGACTCTCTCCAAAACATGTTTATGGAACAGTGAACGATTTCAAATGCAGTCTTAAATGCAGCATTCACTCATGCTCTGCACCACCTAATAAAATGTCCTGAAAATTTTGGGGGTGAGCTGTAAGGATTTTGAATACTAATGGTCACATTTTTCTTGCTAGTCCCACTTGGTGAAATTTTCATAAGGAGTTGGGATGCGGTAGTGTGAGAATGCAGCAGGTAAAAGTCAGGAAAATTTACTGCAGGTGAGTGTGTGAAGGTGATTTGTCATTTCACAAATTATAACAGTCGTGCCTGTTACTTAAGTCCTCGAGCCCCCCCCCCCCCCCCCCCCCCCGTCCTGCATGTTTTGGATGTTTCCCTGCTCCAACACACCTGATTCAAATGATCAGCTCGTTATCAAGCTCTGTAACGGCTTAATAACGAGCTGGTCATTTGAATCAGGTGTGGAATTTTACAGGAGCACATATCTGAAAAAGGCTTCACACTCTGATGCAGTTACTCTCAAGTTAGGGGTTTTTGTAACTCAATTTAATGTGAGAGAGTCTTGTACATTTCATCCGCATGGTAAATGATTAGATTGTCTTGCCCCTCACACATACACAAAGATCCTTTTGACGGACTTACCAGCAGAAATTCTTGCGGCTTTTGCAAAATTTCCAGTTTCAATACAGGCGATTAGTTCGCTCTTATCATCCACAGTGTTTCTCCGGACCAAGGCAGGTTTTCCTTTCCCACATTTTGGAAGACTGAGAATATTGCTACAACAAAGGAAGAGAGAGACAAAAGCGTAAAACAACAACCGTCAGTTTACCTCTGAAATAAACGATCTGCTTTTGAAGTCTTGGACTGCCTCCATTTGATCAAGACATCACAACTGTAATGCCTGTAAAGGGTCTGCTTTATAGTCAAATCAAATAAAAGCCCGAGATTAGACGGTTCTTAATCTGGCGGATTACCTGGTGCTCCCTTGGAGACTGCTACATGATGAGATAGAGGACTCAGAAGCACAGCGCCTTCGCGGCTCCATCGGTCTGCTCGCTCTGTTGGAGTGTTCAAGTTCTTTCTCCTCTTCAATCTCCAGAAAACCACTCGACAGGCCTGAGAGGACACAAGGGAGGCAAAACATTAACATCCTCTAACATCAAATCTAAATTAGGAGCAGCCTTTTACTAAAGACTCATTATGAATCCACAATCCTAATGTGCTGTTTGGAATTCAACCACGCTGACTGCCGAGTGTTGCTGCGAGTCGTTCTAGCAGTTTTTGCAGCATAACTTAATGCTGCCGTGTTGAATCGTGTCCAGGTTTTACTCATACTGAAAGTAAGAAATGGTTTGTCTGAAAGTTTATGTGAGATGGTGAAATTACGACAGGAATATCCAAATCATATACTGTTGAAGACGTATGGCTCATGTAGTTTCCCATCTGCGTCTTACCAGTGTCGAGTCTTTTCACAGGGGACTCTCCCTCCTCTTCTTGCTCTCCCTCTCCTCCTTCTTCCTCACTGTCCCTGCTGCCGCTGTGTTTCCTCTTCTTGCTGTGAAGAAGCGTCTCCAACCGAGGTAATACAACAGACAGGAAGGATTTGGAGCCCAGCTGTGCACCGTCTTCATCCTCCTCAGCCTTGGCCTCCGTCCCCTCAACTCCATCACCTCCTTCTTCTTCTTCTTCTTCTTCAGTCCTCACGGGCTTGTAAGGACTGGTGGTCTTTGATTTTCTGAAAAGTACTGCGGTGCGGCGGTTAACCGTGCCTGCGGGCTCTGCCAGAGTTGACGTGGCCACCACGCTCATGTCTCCGTCCAACAGGGAGTCCTGGGGGCAGTCGTGGGAGAAGCCGTTGAGGTGAGGAGCAGGAGAGAGGAGGTCTGGTAATTCTCTGTCAAATTTGATGCGCTTGCTGTGACTCTTGTCTTCACAGTCTGGGGCGGCGTCAATAGGTTTGAGGGTGGGGGGCTCGGGGTCTGTGTCTGAATGGATGAGAGGAGGGATGGAGTCTGACAGCTCCAGTTTAGGAGGAAGAGACTTATCTGCTGTACAGGACACAAAGAAAAGACACGCATAGACTTGTGTCAGTGCATCATTTTGACACTAGAACTGACATCTCATTAATATGTAAACAGGATATAGCATACCGGCTGTTTTCACTGTGAGGAAAGGTTCAGAAAATTGTGCACTCTACCAAATTTTTCGGGGGATAAAGCGCACCGGATTATATGGCACACTGTTAATTAACGTGTCTATGTTCACACATAATAGTGGAGCGGGAATATGAGGCGATAGTGCAAATGGTGGTACAAGCACGAAATTTGGTACAGAGATCCTTTATACCACTACTAATCATGATATAACCTCTGGCCACCTGGGCGACGCCATTTTTCAAGATGGCTGCCAGCTTTTAGAAATAGCTGCCACCAGGTCAACGTTTTAGACTCTATCACTCTGCTGCAGCTATAAATCTTACATTTACCCTACCGTTGAAATAATGTAACATGTATTAGGTATTTATACCAATTAAAAACAAAATATTAGGTTCCTATATAGCAGCAAATATCCGATATGGCGGCTTAGTCGCACTCTAAATTGCTGATTTTTGAAAGGATGATCAAAATGGTGATATAACCATATAATTTATTACATATGACCTTTATATGACCATATTTTAGAATCAACCTTTGGCTAAGCAGATTTCAACCATTTTAAAAGATAGCCGCCCAGAAATAGAAATGGGAAGAATTCAGTATTTTGTTGGTCCTTATAGTTATTCATAATAGATCAGGGTTATTTATATGTCATAGACATGAGCTATTATGAAAGGCCATATTTGTTTTAAAAATGGCCACACCATATAACATGACAAATCAATAATATATTGTGTAGTGTCATCACACTACCAGGGCACACTGGTTGCTTTTTCAGCATTCAGCACTCAGCATTTCCATGCATTTTCTGCAAGGAAATGCAATTTTTCTAGTATTTATATTTGTGTTTTTTTGTGTTATAAAATTTTTATTGACTGCCTAGTTTTTCTATTTACCTCCAGAATTTTTAAAAAACATCTCATGACTAAAACTGCTAATTTACAACTCATACAATATAAAATACTTTACAGAACTCACTACACTGGACAAAAAATGTTTAAAATGGGTTTCACCGCGGACATTTTCACCCACTGCACTCAAAACGGTCCTGACACCTACACTCACGCCATCTGACACTGCACCCCAATCAAACACTTTTGGAAACTAGTCACCGAGTCATTATCACACTTCATGGGCTTCATGGGCATCCCTTTATCCTCCTTACTCTGCCTTCTAGGAGACTTATCATCACTCACAATAGACAAAGTAAACAATAACCTTCTTCTCGTGGCCCTAACTATTGCCAAGAAAATTATTCTCATGAACTGGAAATCTAGGAACACCATTTATCTGGCTCATTGGAAAAACCTGCTCATTGACCACATCTCTCTGGAATATACACCCACCCCTCTCCATACTACAACAGAATCTCAATCCCCCTGGTCCACTGTCATTGACTTCTTAACAACTTAACTTCCCCAATTTCCATCCGACCAAATTATCATCATTATAATTTCATTTATATATATATATATACATATATATATATATATATATGCCCAGGGAGTAATTTAGTCTAGAACCGCCACTGGATAGGGTAAATGTAAGATTTATAGCTGCAGCAGAGTGATAGAGTCTAAAACGTTGACCTGGTGGCAGCTATTTCTAAAAGCTGGCGGCCATCTTGAAAAATGGCGCTGCCCAGGTGGCCAGAGGTTATATTATGATTAGTAGTGGTATAAAGGATATCTGTACCAAATTTCATGCTTGTATCACCATTCGCACTATCGCCTCAAAAATCAGCATATTCCTGCTAGACTATAAGGCGCATCGGATTGTAAGGCGCATTAAGCATTGGTGCATTGATAGGTTTATTGTTGCTTGTGCGTACTCCAGGCCCGGGCTGCCTCACATGAATGCACCTCTAGTTTAAACATTACAGTCAGGCAGTCTTGTAGACTGCCCAGGGGTCCTGTTATGGGGCCGATCAGGTAGTGACACAGCATACCATATTGCTCCGATTTCGTTGCTTACCAAAGTTGTACTTACATATTCCGACAGATTTTTGAGCGCATTGTACCACATAAAATCGGTTAGTAAGCACAACAAGTAATCATACATAAATTGCGCTGGATTATAAGGTGCACTGTCAAGTTTTGAGAAAATGTAAGGATTTTAAGTGCGCCTTGTAGTCCGAAAAATACAGTAATTGGTTTTCTTTATTTTTGGTGGAGTGCATTTAATGCAGTGTCAACGCCCCTTTTTTTTAAACGACGAAGACGTGACGAGCTAAACATAAGTCTTAGATGACTAAAATGTGACGAGACGAATGTGCGTTTACGTTGACGAGACGAGACTAGACTAAAACGTGAGTGGTGGACGACAAAGAGAGTTGCAAAATTCATGAGCATTTCGTCAGTAAAATGCTAAACATATATTCTGCAGTCTTGTTTTCATTGACGATGACGTTGACGAAATATTTTCATCTACGTCATCGTCAACGAAAACAACACTGATTTGATGTTTAGTCAGTGTTTACTATTTCCCTATGGTGCTAAGAAAGTAGTAGTAATTGGTACAATAAAGTAAGATCTATTTCATTGTGGTACAATCAGCTAAGCAGAATAACATAATAGTCATTGACTTTCTCTTAAAGAAAAAAAAAACAATTAAAAAGTATCAATTAAAACACTTAAAGTCCAGTTCAGAGAGAATACACACGTCCCACTTTATGCTAGTCAGTATTACCAACTGTAATGCCCTCCAACTCTTACACATTGTCCTTGCTCTTGCAGAAATGCTGACACTGCAAATTCTCATATGGCTTTTGTTTTTATGGTGAAGGTAAAATAAGGCCTTGTTTAGCATAACACTGAGACACTTTAATAAATAAAAAATGAGAGCAAATGACTTGTTCCTTTCTTTCTTTTCCCCCTGTGAGCTCATTATAACACTATCCATTCAGGGATCAGCTCCACAGAGAAACCTAGATTTGCCAATAACTGCATTTCTCCAACTCCAGAGCAAAACCATCACATCTGTATAATCATAAAGTACTTTCTGTTGGGATTTGTGATTTGAAGTTTGGCATTCATAAAAGTTTTTTGTGTATCAGCAAGCCTTTGAACAAATTTTGGTGTTCAAGTTTTGCTGTGAGGATTAAAACAGGAGTTCTGACCTTTACTGTTGATACAATATAGGGCTGGGCGATATGGCCTCAAATCAATATCACGATACATGAAGCAGTTCACCTTGATAACAATAAATGGACGATAACTACTCCACAAGCTGCTCACCACCTCCCACATTAAATTCAAGACAGCGCCTTAAAGGGACATGAGACCACAGCCTACCTACGCACACCCAAAACCAACTTTTATTTATGTATTTATTGACACCAAATATACAATATGGGCAAAATGACGTCGGTTATTGTCGTAAATTTCGGTGTTGGTAAATTTTCGGTTTATCGCCCAGCCCTAATACAATATCTTCAAAAAAAAAAAAAAAGCCCAGTAAATCACACATGTGCCATTTGAACACACAAATTTCGTTTGCAACTAGCCATGGCCTTTTTCACCCACTCTGTCAGTGAGAAACTGCTGCTAAATACTGATCAATAACTCCAGACAACAGTGTGTTACAGCTCAATATTCAAGGGTGAAAATGAGCAAATTAGTGAAAGACATCTCAGAGTACTGGTCACTCTACTGTGCTTCCAATTCACAGTTACAACTAGATATGTATGATATTATCAACATAATATTGTACCGGCAGTTAAAGCGCATTAGTTGTGCACAAACAGCACATTAGCTATTTTCAACGCTTGCTTTTTAGCAAAGCACAGGTAACGGGAGGAGGAGTACAATGGCCATTTTTTCAACATCACAAATTTCGTAGTGCGCCTCGAAAACGGTCATTTTGGAGCAACAACAGCTGACAGCTATCAAGAGACCATTAAAGCTTCACAAGAATCAGTGAATTTAATATAACCAGCCTATCATCTGTATTAGTATCAGCTCAAGTTACTTTGAACATATTGGCTTTGTGTACATCATTCTGTACTCATCAGTCAAACCAGTGTTACTACTTTAACGTTTGTAGGTCGGTTTGAGATTTCTTGATTCTAGTTTTAGGAAATAAAGGCAAAAAGTCACCAAAGTGGATTCTCTCTAACGCAGAGAACATTTGTAGTGTTTTCTTCACAAATCTATCCATAAACCCATAATAGCGCTCCAGTGCTTACTTCAGAGAGAATATTTAAATGATCACCTGTTGAAGCAGCCTGCGTGTCTTGCCTAAAAGCCTTTGCATATCCTAAACTGAAAAAGTTTTAGTACAGTACAGGCCAAAAGTTTGGACACACCTTCTCATTCAATGCATTTTCTTTGTTTTCATTACTATTTAAATTGTAGATTCTCAAAACTATGAATGAACACATGTGGAATCATGTGCTTAAGAAAAAAGTGTGAAATAACTGAAAACATGTTTTATATTTTAGATTTCTCAAAGTAGCCACTCTTTGCTTTTTTGATAGCGCTGCAAACTTTTGCTGTTCTCTCAATGAGCTTCATCAGGTAGTCACCTGAAATGGTTTTTACTTCACAGGAGTGCCTAAAGTAACCCTGACAAGGTACTTCTGTCATCAAGAGCAAAGGGTGGCTATTTTAAAGAAACTAGAATATAAAACATGTTTTCGGTTATTTCACACTTTTTTTATAAGTACAAAATTCTACATGTGTTCATTCATAGTTTTAATGCCTTCAGTAATAATCTACAATGTAAATAGTCATAAAATAAAAATAAAAAAAATAAAGAAAAGACACTGAATGAGAAGGTGTGTCCAAACTTTTGGCCTGTACTGTATGTTGAAAGTAATGATTAAGTCTGAAATTAGTTGAGTGTCGTGTCGTGAGATTCATCAACTGTCTGCATGATTCAGTTGTAAAGTAAAAGACACAGATTCACTGAAATCCAGCTTTAACCTGCCTTCAGGGTGCATTCAGAAAGTTAAATGCTTAATTTTGAAAAGCTCTCATCAGCTTGACCGCTGTAACGTCAGAGTTCATGATTCTCAGCACTGTGGACAAACACTTATAATGAATGAAAAGTCTCAAGCAAGAAGTCTAACAATAGAGGAAAGCTCTGGAGGACCAGTTAGAGGGTTGACCCTGACCACTGGAAATAACTCCCAGTGACCTATCAGTGCTCTTCATCCCACAAACTCAGTGTGACTTCTGATTTATATTTCCCATTAAGACATACCGATATGTGGGGTTGATGTCAAACAGATACAACACGCTTTGATAAGGTCAGACAACATCTGTACATACCCTCATCATCCGGAAAATGTCCGTTGGTTTTCAGTCTCTCCTCTTTGGGTTTACTTGGCTCTGTGTGAGGGGCAGCTGATGAAGATGATGCAGATGTGGAGGGAGCTGTGGAGGAGGAGGAGCGATGGTGGTGGTGGTGGTGGTGGTGGGAGGGATGGACTCTCTTCAGGCTCATTTCATTGCGCACGTCATTGATGGTCTTTTTGAGCAGCTTTAAGCGTTTGCTGCGGGAGGGGCTGGACTTCATGGCACAGGTCAGGTCAAACTTTTCCAGGAGCTGCTGCAGCTGCTTGTCCAGGGATAGAGGCTCCCGATTAGCTGGCACTAGTAAGCGGTCCACTAGGGAGAAAGTGAAAAAGGGAAAACAGTGTTACGATCGCTTGTCACAAACTCTTAAGACGAAAATAAGTCACAGATTCGCTACTACTGTCCTTACCATCCTCCCAGGAAAATGCTGGTGTTGCTTTGATTTCAGGAGCCTCTGGCAGATGCATGCCACTCTCTGAGTCAAAGCCGATCTTCTCCACATCTTTTCTGGCCTTTCTAAGAAGAGCGCCGCCCTGATCTCGGAGGCGAACGGCCGCCCGGTAAAAATAGGTGTCTTTCGAGTTATACTTCATGCAGTTATCGACAATGAGGTTGAAGTCGCTCTCGAACTGCTCCAAGTTGTTGTAGCCCTGCGCATCGATACGCTGACGCATGGTGGAAAAGTCCATGGGGTGCTTGATGTGATCGAGATAATCAGGCACCTAAAGGAAAGATCAAATATTTAAAAACCACGTTGCAAAACACGACATAAGCCTTGTCTTTATGTGCAGAAATCCAAAGACACACTCTACACATGCTCAGCTGCCAGAGTGCTAAAGCTGCAGAAATCTAACTAACCTCAAAGACATAAAGTGCGCCCAACGTGGGGCTCGAACCCACGACCCTGAGATTAAGAGTCTCATGCTCTACCGACTGAGCTAGCCGGGCTTGTTAGAAGATAGCAACCTCAGCTCTTTTGGGGTGTCAGCCAACGAACCGCAGTCTAAAGTTACACATTCACCCTACTAGGAAGTCCCATTGCCTCACACTGTCAACACGGGGCGGCGAGGTTGATTTATGACCCGAGTCACTATGATCAGATACTGTGACATGGAGGGAGCAGCTGTCTGCTTGCTGTAGCCTCAGTGGCTTGTTCCAGTGCAGCTTTTAACAGATGTGTGATGATACAAGGGAAAGAAAGGCTGGCGTTAGTCTCCCTGAGGTCTTTGGAGGTGTACTTGGTCTGTCAGTGCTTTTAAAAGATACAGAGAACTTCTGGAGAAGACTTGAAACTTTTTGTGTGTCTAGTAAAAACACAAAACAATTGTTTCATCCTTAGTTTATTCCAACATTTCTGGAGCAACTTTATAGAGACCAGGGTGAAAAATAAACAGGTAAAACCAACCCCTGAAATGGTATTAGTAGGTTTTTATCCTGACAAGAGCATAATAGCAAAATGCAAATGGCTGTGTTGAAAAACGAACCAGCAAGTCCAGTTTGAGAGCTTAACAGCGATCCTTTGGATGTCCCCAGACTTCATATTTGTTTAAAGGATTGTTAACAGGAAATAGTCACCCTAATATGGACACGGTACAGATTCTCAAATGAAAGACCCAACAGCACTTCAACGTTTTAGTATCCTTACCTCACTGACATCAACCGGCTGGGTGAAGATCCTGGCTTGGTCTTTCGACTGGATCTGGTCCAAGAGGGCTCGGAGCAGAATACTGAAGGGAGTCAACTGCATCTCAAGGAGGGTTTCCTGCTGTTTGATCTACATACAGAAGAGAGGAGAACATCAGACACAAACACATTTTTTCCGTTAAAACTGAATTCTGACAATGTCATATTTCTGAATCAGCTCAGTGCCACAACAGGTCTTGATCAGCTTATCTGGGTTTCATGTGTTAGCCCGGCTTTGGACGTGCCGTGAGAAGCATGTGACAACGTTGAGAAGGCTTCATTTTCATGTTGCGATGTATGTTTACAGAGCAAAGCCTTCAAAAGTAAGCATCAAAATCAAAATGAGTGAATATCTGGGGGAAAAAAAAACAACAATCAAGTTTAAATTAAATTAAATATCTTGTCTTTGTGGTGATTTCAGTTGAATATAGTTGGAAAGAATTTGCAAATCATTGTTTTCTGTTCTTCTTTGTGTTTTAAAAGTCCTAAGTTCATTGACATTGTGGTTTGTGTGACTCTTTTATTCTGAACTTTTGTCTAGGACTGGTCTCAAGTCACTTGTAGAGCCCTTCGGTGGAGTCTGCTTTACTGTTACTGGAAAAACAAATTGCCTATAGACCTATTTTTTTATATATTCTAATGGCCCAGAGACATGGTCAGTATTTATTTTGTTACGCTTTTTATTTTGTTGTTTTTGGATTTATACACAAAGACAGGGAACATAAACGCAGCAGAGATAACAAGAACATATCATGGGGGGACACTTAAAGTTGAAAATAATATATCATTTCAGAGTCCACTGCTATCCAAAAAACCACAGAGAGAAGCAAAAAGCAAATTCAGTTTTTCCCATCAGTATTCTCTCCATTTTTTAGAGCTTGTGGATGAGTGCTGTGTGCCAACCCTCCTCAGAAACGTCTGTATTTAGTTTGTTTTCCCATCTTTGTTTGATTTATCAAGTATTAATTCTTTTCTGCTTCTGAAAACCCAGATAAAGCCTGAAGACGACTTTCTTGTTGTTCTGTTTATTTGCTTCATTAAAACATCTATCACTGCACTGGCCTTCTTTGTTGTCTCTGCCTCCATCTTTTTTTCCACAGTAATCTCTAATGAATTTAAGCACAAACCGCTGTAACACCTCTATCCCACAACTGTTTGAATTTGGGATCACTAATCCCAGGTTTGAATCAAGTCCAGACCAAGTTGGATTAATACAGGCTAATAAACCTGGAAATTAACTTTTCATACTTCCTCAACCTGAGTACCAAAGTCCAAACTAAAGGCAGACCATCACCTGACATCTCTCAACAAGCTATCATTCACCTGGTTGTACGTTATCTGGAATAGCTTGTCCAGTGTCTATGCGATTGTCACTTAGACACATGTTTTTGTCTTCTGACTTTGTGTATTTATCTCTTACTTCTTGGTGAGGAGAATAGTTTAAAGAGAGAGAGTTTATATACACTTTATCGAGTGTCTGAACTGAACTAAACTGAAATCTCTCCAATACTTCACAAAGAAATGTCCAGCTCCTGCAGCTTTCTTTGCATCAAGGCTCATTAGTACAACTCTTTACTCTTCTTTTTGAATCTGATCAATGAAATAAAATGTTGGTGTAATGTTATCCTGAGTCTGCTGGCCTTTTATGAACCCTGATCGGACTTCAATCAATTAAATGAGCCATAAAGTTTTTAAATCTTTTAACTAGAATGGAAGAAAATATCTTGTAGTCTACATTTAAAACTGAGAAAGGTCTAAAGGACTCAGGGTGTTCTTATTTCTACCTTCTTTTGGGATAACAGATAAATGGTCTCTTTTCACGTCATTCAAAGTTTGACGTAAAAAGACAAAGAGCTACAACTTAAACTTAATTCATTTGTTGAATGTACATTTTTTAATCAATTACTATCAATGAGATTTAACACTCTTATTCATGAAGTCTGCTTTCATCTTAGTTAGTTTCATCAGTGACTTTTGGATGCAGTCAGAGGTCTATCCATCTACCCATCCACCTGTCAGTCCTCCATGCTTACCTCCTCCCTCTTTAGTTTCTCCCTCTTGCGGATCAGCTCCAGCAGCAGTCGTGCTCTCTCCAGGTCGTGTCTGAGACGATGCCATTCCTTCAACTGGTCCTTCAGCGCCCTGCTCTCTTCCTCATTCTGCCTCTGAAGATATAAAAGGCGCTCATTAACAACAGAACCAAAAACAGCTCAGGGGTGGATTATGGGTATATATTGCTCAAGATGGTAAAGAAATACTGTTATACATCGCACAGTCAAACACATTGTTCAAGCAGCATGAGAGTGTTAAAAAGGAAAACAGGCAAATCAGTCAGATTTAAAAAGATGGCTGACTGTATGCTAACATAATACCACTACGCTATTATTTCTAAGATCTACTCTGGTTTTTAAGTGAGAAGCAAACTGAAGACTGAAAGTCTCCTGCGGTGGACTGACAGATGAACAAACCGCTTGCGCATTCTTCTGAGACTGCAGGCTCGTCTGAAGGCGTCTGATGAGGGGGAGTCCGTTCCTGGACTGCCTCTTCAGAGTCCAGTAATTCAGCACCAGCTCCACGAATGCTTTCTTCTTCTGAACTGAAACCTGGTTTAGGATGGTCTGCAACCTAAAGCCAGGAGGACGAGGTCGAAAAAGATGCAGTCAAGAAAGGTAGCAACAAGTCCTTACATGCCTTTTTTAGAAAACAATAATAGTTATACATTTTATTTATCACACACTGAAGGTACCACAGATATGAAACAACAGAATAACCAAGTAAAAAAAAAAACTACTACAGAGATTATCAACATGTAAAGTGCTGCATAAACAGTTTGAACAGCACCTTGTTAGCTGGAGTTCCCAGTGAAGCTTCAAATTCAAGAGCTTCAGACGGATTTTGAGCAGCAATCTACTAGTACTTGATAGAGACCAACTACATGTAAGCAGATAATTTATGCTGAGGAGTATTTAGAAAACTATTTTTTTTTACACATATCCCATCACACTTTAAGCTCCATGTTGACAAAGCTGTCTTTGCTCATCTTGTCCATGACATGCTCTAGTCCAGTGGTTCTCAAATCAAGTCCTCGAGACCCACTGTCCTGCATGTTTTGGATGTTTCCCTGCTCCAACACACCTGATTCAAATGATCAGCTCGTTATCAAACTCTGTAATGGTTTAATAAGGAGCTGATCATTTGAATCAGGTGTGCTGAAGCAGGGAAACATCCAAAACATGTAGGACAGTGGGCCTCGAGGACTGGACTTGAGCACCACTGCTCTAGTCTATCCAGACAGAAAGATGCATCTTTGATTGTGAATATTCTATGTAGGAATTTCAGATTAGGGGTGTCCCGGTACAACTTTTTGACTTCCGCTACGATACTTATGTTGTAGCCTTTAATACTGACAATACTGATATTGGAATGAACAGCTTGTATTGCAGTGCTGATATTGAAGATTTTAGATGCAGGCTGATATAATCTGATATTCGTTTTTTTTTTTGCTAAAATCGGACCGATATCTGACATCAATATCATATCGGGACACCCCTATTTCAGACATATGAGTGTTTTCAGCTTCTTGCCTGACACCTGTCCCCATGCATCATTTTGAAGCATTATAAACAGCAATTTAAAAATTTTCAGTCTTGTTGCAGATGGTTGTTTGCTTTTGTCTACCACAAAAAAAGTATCAGTGGAAGTTTCAGCCCATTTCATAAACATCAAAAAAGTCCTCACAGGAGCTTTAACTAGTTTCCCAGAAGAAATGACACTCACTGCTTTGGATACCATAGCTTTCTATCTTTTTGGTTTCTTGTGCAGCATTTGGACAAATTTATAGCTCTGACTTAAGTTTAACTTCCTAGGAGCACTACACTGTTGTTTGAGTCGATTCAACATAATTACAAGCATTTAAATCTGTTTTCACAACCACCTTTACAAAAAATGGCTGCATTTTGAGCCCTAATATACCCCTGAGGTCTGACTGTTTACAAAACTGGCTAATGGTATAAGAAGTTGAATGTGAGGGACTTGATATTGGTAGCAGAACTTTGCCTCGACAAAAGTACTGACTGACACTCATCAGGGCTTTTACTGTTTTATTCTGTCTAATGTCCTACATGAAAAAGATCAGAAAGCCCTTCTAATACACCAAACATAAATATGCAAAAAAGAAACTTCAGTAATAATTTTAGCTCACCATACTACACCTCTTACCTGTGAGCAGGAAATGTAGGCACAGCAACAGGTGTTATTTCTTCACTTTCAGGTTCAGGCTCAGGCTTCTTACTCTTACTCTTCTTCTTCTGCTTTCCTTTTGACTGTCCTTTCCCAACTCCTCCCCCTTTTTTACACAGTCCATTTTTGGGTTTGGCATCATCATAGATGGTGAGAGGCCTCCGCACACACCCGTTAGGTGTATGAGCTCCACAGTAGGCAGTCTTTTTTACAGAGAAGGTGGGCTCTCCCGAGTCTGTTACCTCTTTTATCGGCTCCATCTTCATGAAGAGGCCAGCCTTCTGGGCACAGCTGACATGAAAGGCAGTGTAACAGTTGGCTTTGTGGCACTGGATGCATGCCCCGACACCTTTTTCCTTGCAGAGGTAGCAGGTCAGTTTCCAGCGGGCGGGTGGAATGTGGCTGACACCATCAATGGGTTCAATGAAGGTGGTGTTTGAGAAGCCAACCTCAGGAACCCAGAGGGCACAAACTACGTGGCCCCAGCGGTCATCGTCTGTCTTTTTCACTGCTCCACCCTGATTGGGACAAAGTATGCAGTCTGCAGGCTGGCTGGGGGACTGGAGGCAGTGTCTGCAGAGCCACTGGCCTTCAGGAATGTAGGGCACACCGTAACATTCTTGGTGCACAGCCACATTGCACATATCACAAAAGAGGATGACGTTGCTGTTGTGACACTCTCCATCCATGCAGATACAACAGACAGCGTCTTCATCAACTGTAACGTGCTTTTCACCGCACTGATCGAGACTCTCCAGGTATAACTCTTTCTCAAAGCGGTCAATAAGAAACTCAAAAACATTATACGAGACCTGGCTGACTCCTTCACTTTTCCGTTTCTCATTGACCAAATCCAACCAGGCGTAGTCTTCCTCATCCATGTCATACTCTGTTTCCTCATCTAGCTCTTCTTCCGTCTTCTCTGTGAACTGATAAAATGCGGCTGAGCGCTTAGGAACTGCAGGGAGGTTATATTCCACTGTGCGAAATTTAGGCTCTGGAAGCTTGGGACCTACATTAACACCAGCATGATGTCCAACACCCTCACCGTGACCAGGAATCCCCAGCGCAGCGTTTCTCTTCTCCTGGTTGTTTTTTAGTCTGACAGACCTCAGGAGCACCTGCTGCTGTGGTTTCTCAGCATTCTCCTTATTGCTGGTGCACTCCATCATCTCCTGAACCGTAGGGTCATCATCCGAGATCACATCCAGCTTGTCGTAGATGCTGATCCGATGTATGCGGCCATCAATATCAAACTCCACCATTCTCTGCGCCTGGGCGTAAGTCAAGATCTGCTTGTTAGGGGAAGGTTTGATGGGGGACGGAGGCCTCTGTGGCACCACAACTCGGTGCTGCCGAGCTTTCTTCTTCATCTTGCTGCTCTGTGTCGCTGTAAAAGATCAAAATGGAGATAATCAGTGAGAGATCAGACTGGTTTTTAAAAGGACTTGGGTACATTGATTTGTGGTCAAGAAGAATAGAATCATGTTCTCTGACCAATACTGTCAAGTCAGGATGGGAGAAAAAAATCGATACAGCATTGTATTGTGATATTTTGTCTGGTGATGTATCATATCGTCTCATTGACCAAGTATAGATTTTTTCAAATTAAAGGTCCTTACACACCGGGGCAGACGCAAATATGGAACGTGAAATTCTGAAATATTCAGAGGCAAATTTTGATGGGCCTGACTTTACACATCAAGCCCAACGCGATTTTGTGACTTTCCGGGGGGGAGAAGACGCATCCCGGGGAAGACTTCCCACGGAAAGTCCTGCCTTCTTCGCCTCTGATTGGCTAGAAAAGCTGGAAACGTCATCACACGCTCAAGCCAAACAGTCAGCACAGCCAATCAGAGGCGATAAGATAAGCACATGAAACTGTGGTAACAACCGTTAGATTTCATTAGCACAGATGAAAGTTAAAACAAAGGCGTTAAGCAAACTGTTAAAGCACACAAATCATTGTCATATCAGAAATCCGAGGCTATAACTCTCCACAAGTTGTCCTTCAGGTCACTATCTTTGTAATGTGTGTGTGTAAACGATCATAAACAGTCAGCTGATCGGCCATGTTGCATGTACCGGTGAATCTGACGTCGCAAAAACACGAAATCTAATTGGTCAGAAGTGGACACACAGTATGCGAAACTTTGGAAAAATCGACCATGATCCGAAAAAATTAATGCCGCAATATCGCAGGACGGGAAAACACCGCTGATGTGAACGCTTGTATTGACAGGATACGGGTTAAAAAAAAAGTATTGACGTATGAAATAATTGTACGACAAAAGTGGTCCCGTTGTGTAAGGACCTTAACTGTTTGTCCAGTGAGGCTGGCAGAGGTGATATCATAGAGCAGGAGAAAGTTAGTACAACAAATATATAAAAGGTTTACAAGATTTGCCACAGGAAAATAAAACACAGCATAAATAAGTCAAACATTACGGAAGACAAATGCTCAATTAGCTATACAGTTGAAAAAATTGCATAAATCTCAATATATTGTATCACAATACATGCTGTGTTGGAAAATGTTAAATATTGCATGAGTATCGTATTGTAGCTCAAGTATTGTGATAATATCGGATCGTGGGGCCACTAGTGATTCCCACCCCTACTGTGTAAGTGAAATTGATGTATTAATATACAGAAGACTCCAGCTTTATAAAGTATTTTAATAGCAACACAATAAATAAGGTGTAAGGTGTTTTAAAACACTTACATCCTATCATGAGATAGGGGTTTTGAAAAAGTGTTAAGTCTAAAAGTAAGATTACAAAGAAAACAACAGTGGGTACATCAATAGTTTACTCACAGCTGAATAGAAAATATATATAATGCTTTATTATCATTATATTGAAAGTAGAAATAGGAGTCCTGCTCCAGTAAGGTGCTTCATAGCGACACACAACATACTGTAAACTGAACTTACAAGTAAGTAAAGAGCTGTATAAGGAGAAGTTTGTATACTCATGTTCCTGTTTTGAAAGAAATATATATTGTTGTTACCTATGTTCCAAAACCGAATGAAAGTGTGTTTTTTATTGGTGTAAACTGGAGTTTTCTGCTGTCTGTGAAGTGAACTTAAACATAGTAACTAAGTGTTTGTCAATGAGCTGGGGCGTTTAAATGCGGTGGGAGGCGGGTGTTAAGGGCACTATCAAAAGGACTGCACCGGAGTTAGCACATGACCATTTGGTCAAAAGATACAATTGCTTTTTACTCTTACAACTTACAAAGTGGTCAAGCTGCTAACAATAACATTAGCCAGCCAGCTAACTAGCAAAAAGAGCTAACCCTCCTCTACACGGAGCAAATGGCGTCTAAGCAGACAAGAGCTCTTTAAACGTTTGTTAATTTTCGTGGAAATGTAAGAGCAAGTACACATTTTGCACATGCACTGTATGCATTGTTATTTTGAGAGAACAATAAAAAGGGAATGAAAGCAAAGCACATACCTCGGGTCGGACAGTTTTGCTAGTTGAAGACGGCAGCTAGCCAGCAGCCTTACAAAGCAAAGGCGAAACGGCCTGCTAAGTGGCTCTATATCCGCACACAATGTTCTCATCCAACGAGCGGTAGTGGGCTCTTTTCAATTACTGGTGAAACTAAGAGGAGGCCTGCTTGTTGTCTATGAAGTTTCGGCTTTAAATTCGACGGTGAACACAGAGTTATCTGCTTTGGGGACCATTCATAGGTTAGAGTCACTCGCTAGCCACAGTCGACTAGGAGCGAATAGCAGTCTCGGCAGCAGCACTACCAACGGCTCATCCCCCAACACAACAATGCGTTTTACCAGACAACTCCCACCCGTACGCACTACTCTACGTGTGACGCTGGAGGTCATGTTGGTGGTGAGTCGTGGATTTCACACAAAAGCCCATCTGTCACGCGATCAATGCATTGCCTTTTGTCAATGCTCTCAATACGCAGCTAAGGGTCCACACAAAGCGCAGTTCGGGGCATCATCGTCTATGTAGAGCCGAGACCAAAGTCTGTATTGGCTCCCCACAACGGAGCGTTCAGTCATTACCAAAACACTGTATCTTTCATTGCGTGGTGTGGATGCAATGATCATGTTGCCTGCGGTCACTGAGACAGCCAAGGCACAGGCAAACCAATATGGCCCACCCCGATGACCACTTGGATACATGGTATCCTTGAGCCGAGGTGAAACTCGCTGTGTTAACCTCTTATTACGTGGTAACGTGTTGTGGAGGCGAAACTAAGCTTTATTTATAGCTCCTCTGCATCATCCGGGTTTATCAATGCTGTTGTCACAGATCACAACAGTCGGCCAGACATTTGGTGAAAAATCACTATTTCGAATAAAGGGTGCAATTTAATTATGTTTTTTCCCCCCTTTTTTTTTCCTTTTTTTAAATTAATGAACATTTGTTAATTCTTCTTAACCCTATAACAGTATTGCTAAAATGAGAAAATCTATCTGTCTATCTATTAGTACTACCAGTTGATAGCCCACTTTTTCATATCTCACTTTTTTCTCTTAGGATGTTTAGTATATTTAGTCTGTATTTATTGTATATATTTGGTATATTTAGTCTGTTTTGTACATACTTCTTCTTATGTTTAATTTCATTTTGTATTTTTATTGCTGCTGTAACATGGGAATTTCCCAGTTTGGGATCAATAAAGTCTATCTATCTATCTATCTATCTATCTACATAGTAACTTAGTTTCTTTTCCACCCATTCCTGTGGCATTTGAGTCTTCTCTGGTGAAGACTCAGGGTCCTTGGCACAATAACAGCTGCAGGAGAGAGAGGGAACAAAAATAGAGAACCAAAAATGACCAGCTGACTAAAATATTTCTTATCACCATATGAATTCCCTTAAATATCACTACTTTGTGATAGTTATTCATAACCACTGGGCTAAATAAAGATAGCATGCAAATTCCAGGACCACTCTCACTGACCTTATTCCCTACATGCAGCTATCAAATCAACCCAAACCTACTTTACCCTCTATCACTACTATTGCTGGGTGAAAATCACCAGAATACGTGCACATAGGAAAAAGCAGGTCTTGGAAACAAATATGCCTTCAAAGATGTCAAAGGCAATGCTGAAGCTACCCAGGGACCCCTGACACCCAGACAAACACAACATAATGAAAATCACGTAAATATGTGTGGTTGGATGAATGAATAATTTTATTCTGTTTGGTATCGAATTAAATACATCCTACACTGAAATCGTGCAACTGTAATAAAATTAAAATTTTCTAGACGAACCACACAATAATAATAATAATAATTATAATTATAATAATAACTTCCTATTTGTAGCACTTTTAAAAACAGAAGTTTACAAAGTGCTTTGACAAAAAGTCATGAAGCACAGAACATCGGCACATGGAAATAAAAACAAATAAAAAACAAAAGCTCAGTTAGGCCTCAGAATTGAAGGGCAGTTTCATTTGTCATAAGAAACCCAGACTATACAAGAACCCTACAATGTAAAATGAGACCATAAGAACCAAAATAAAAAATAAAAAAAAACATAAAATAGGTAAGAAAAGATATGTAATAAAAAGGGGGGTAGAAAGCAGGAAACACGATAGTAAGTATAAAAAGACGATATTCATAATAATAATAAAATAATGATGATGGTAATAGTAATGATAAAATGAAATAACAAAAATTAGCAGGAAAAAACAATAAAATCAATAAAAGGCCTTAAAGTTGAAGTAAAACAAAGGCTAAAAGGACATTAAGTCGAAATAAGATAGAGATAAAAGATACAAGAGAAGTAATAATAATAATAATAATAATAATAATTGTTAGTGGTAGAAGTAGTAGTAGTGTAGTTGTAAAAATGATGTTATTTCTGTCATGCGCAATAGTAGGCTACTGATGTACAAGGTCCCTTCAATGAAATACTTTGATCAAGTTACTCTACACATAAAATGCCTCATGGCTGGCTGGTGTGTTTGAATGATCGGTAAAGTGGGGTGTGCTGCTGTGGCATGCTGCGGTGGTGTACTGCTGCCTCTTTGCCCTACTGAGGACCCTGCGACCAGTGACATCATTAAAACATGTTCCTTCCGTCCGACGCTGTGTGGTGCTACTCCGGCCGAACGTGAACTGCTAGCAAACCAGCAGACAAAAGCAACAAAGTGAACCCCCCTCCGGATCAATCAAATGTGTCATATTTAACTGTTTAGGAGCCGAAACCCAGGGATCACGCGGTTATACTTCACAGTGAGTATCGTGAGCGCATGTTTAAGTCTGAAAATGGTCCGGGATCGCTAGGACGTCGTGGTGAGCGCTGGTCTGATTCGGATCCCGTGTGGTTCGTGTGTTGCCACGGCTGGGTTCTGCCTCGCCAGGTTAGCTTGTATGTCCTGTGTGTGGCCTAGCTGGCAGCTAACCAGCTAGCAGTCGTGGTGTGGTCCGAAATTAATAAAAAAAAAATTCCACGAGGTCGCGTTGATTAAGTTGTTATAGAGTTTGTAATGTGTGTAATATTTGTGTTACTGAGCCATGTGACGGAGGAGCCGTACCTCAGTGACGTTTTTGTGTGTTTATTAGCCTTGCGGCTAACACAGTTAGCATTGAGATAGCCTCCGTGGTGTTTACTGATGATGTAGCCTAACTGCCACAAATGTGTCATTAAAATGTTTGGTATAGATGGGTACCAGGATTCAAACTAGCTCCCTGATTTTCGCCTGGTGTTATACAGCCCACCTGAGCTTGTTTTTAAGTAACCACGGACACGTTGGTGTGTTGTGTGAATAGTAAAGCTGGTGAGGTTTGGCATTTTTCTGCTGTCCTCTCGCATCTTCCTGAATAGCACTTTAGCCAAACCCGGAAAAACTGGCTGTCAGTGCTGACTTAGGAAATGGCCTAACATTACTCTTCTGAAAGTGTCCACGCTCATGAAAACACGAACAAATACAGAATAAAGGATATCATAGGATGACGTGGTAAGATCCATATGATCAGATCATGATAAATGATTCATTATTAGTTTAACCATTGATCACGGATAGCTACGTGCTGGACTGGATTTGGGTGATACTTGTGTGGGTTGGCTCATGTCCACAGAGCTGGAGTGTCTTTGAACGCATTCTCCTGGTTCCGTGTCTGTATCATTCACGCTGTATGTTACTATGTAAAGATTAAAAAACGGGAAGCACCGATAGTTGTGATGTTTTTGTATATTTGTTTTCTGTTTGATATTTTCTTCTGAATGATAAATACAAGATCTATCCTTTACGACGTTATTTTTGAGGACCAAGAACAAGGTGAATCTTTATTTATACTGAACAGACCAACCTTTCCTTGATTTAACTGTTCGCAATGCATCTGTGAAAAATATATATATGGTCACAGTATAGTAGGTCACCTAGTTTATTAAGCGTGTCCTCTGATACAGTTGAACACTACTATTCATCATAAGAGGAAGTAGATTATGGTTAAGTATTTTGCTATAAAACGGGAGTCACTTGGGTCACGGTTATTACACCTGTGGGGTAAGACTAACAATTTGTAATGTATCTCATAGTTGAAAAAATATGTTTTAATGTCTTTATATGTTATAGGTAGTATGTTTTGAAGTGCTGTTGTGTTTGACTGACTGTACTGAACACAAACAAGTGAATGCATCTATGTGTATTTAATTAAATAGACATAAACGGAAGAAATTACTTTTAGATTCCAGTCTAGCAGTTTAAAATAGCTAAAAAAGAAAAATAAAAGGTAAATATTGGGGTTAAAACGCAGGAAGAAAGTCACTTCGCTTAGGTAGTATGTTTTGAAGGATTTGTGATACATCGATAAACGGACACAAATATTGGGTTATGCTATATATTGCTAAACATGGCTGATATTGCTAGCAATACTAAACATTACAATACAATATTACCAGTCAATGACTGTTTATGATTTTATATGCTTTTATGAGGGGATAAGATGGATGTGTTATCACTTCGGAAAGATACCGGTGATATTTACCTTGTGAGAGCCAGTGCTGATGTGGAGCAGATTATGTCAGGATGCCAATAATCAGCCAACCAATTATCCTTAACATACACACACATTTTCACAATGGCAGGACAATTATTTCAGTAATACTGTGCTGAAAATATTTTCGTAGTCTATCCACATAAGTAATGGAAGTAGTTGTAAAAGAGGGATCTCTGAAATTCCAAATCCTGAATGCCTCGAGGTGCTGCTGAACCTATTGCTCCATCTGCTAAAGTGAGGTGTGATGAAAACAGCCCAACTAAAGTATCTTTATTTACCATATTGGAAGTAGGAATAATGATTTTCAGGAATATGAATAGACTGATTTATAGGGGAAAATAATTTCTTACTAATTGTAAAAAAATATATACTTTTGTACCAGGACCTGGCTGTAATGTGGTAGAGCTGCCACATGATGGCTGTAGCACACCCTAGAGCTGAGTTCAGTGCATCATAAAAGAAGACAAATGTACTAATGCTAGAGTCTAGTAAAATATATAGGTTTCCTCTAGGTTTTGAAGAACTTGAAATAAATTGGGGACAAGTACAGATTTAAATGGGTAAGGCTTACCTCACACAAGTCTACAATAACTGGCATCAGGCGCACTATGATTAATCATTGAGACCTTTGATTATTGAATGGTGTTTTTGCTTGACATACCCACCCCTTGATAAAAACTGGGTTCTTTTTAGGCTTACAAATTAAAATGAAACAGGGCTGCTTTACACACAGAGTAAAATTATGATAAATTCAAATATTTCAATTTTTTACACCCCAAGGCTACTTTGTGAGGAAAAACAACAATGGTCAACAAGGGCAATGAGATAAGACTAGAAATTGGAAATTTACAGCAAGCATTTGGACAGATGGCATGGCTGCTTTGCATTTAGATCAAGTTGAATCTGTTTTACAAAGTTTAAACAACATCAAAATTAATTCACAAAGCATGTTTGTCTTCAAGAATATAAAATACTTATTTCCCCCCTTTTTTCCTCTCTCTGTAGATTGTGTGTGAAGAAGCAGAACTCCTCCAGGCCTAAATGGAGAAGGACATGCAGGAGCGTTGTGTCCCTGACAGCCACACGCTTTACACAACACCTGCTTAAGAGCTGCAGAATCGATGACTACCCATAGCAAAACTGATCACAGTTGACAACGTAGACCTGTCTATCCTACAGAAACCTTTGGGCTGCTGCTATGGATGGGGAGGAGGAGGTCTCTCACATGAGTGAGGATATGGACAGTGAACCCAATGGCTCCATAGAAAACAAAAGAAGAGAGGCGAAAGGGACTTGCCTGAGAATTGAAGGCCAGGATGGCTACGTGTTCAAATCCTACAGCATTAACCCTCACGAGGCTGCAGATTCCAACTCAACTGCTTGCTCCTCAGTAACACTGGATAAAGACCCTCCCCCTGATTTCCATATATATTCTCAGGATGAAAAACAACAGGAGTCAGACCTGGCAAGTGAGACTGATCCAGCTTCTCCAGCTCTTTCAAACAAAGGCCTCAACACAGACAATGAGAGAAATACAGAGAGCGATAAGTATGAAAATGAAAATGAAGAAAGTCAACATATCAAAGAGGAGATTGGAGAAACCAATGGGCTGGAGGAGGAAACCCAGGATGATGAAAGGTTAGCATTTGGTAGCTCAATTGGCCCCTTTGTAACCAGAGAGGGGGATGACTATAGTAATTTACTAAGTGGATACACAAGCACCCTTTATGATGTTGCCATGGATGCTGTCACCCAGAGCCTTTTGTCATCTATGAGGAGTAATCCCAACCCAAGAAAAAAATCTCCGGCATGGAATCACTTCTGTATATCACCCCGAGACAGTACCAAAGCAATCTGTTTATACTGTATGAAAGAATTCAGCCGGGGAAAGAATGAGAAAGACCTCAGTACAAGTTGTTTAATGAGGCACGTTCGAAGGGCTCACCCCACTGTGCTTTTACAAGAAGGAGATGCATCCTCAAATAGTCTGAATAGCTCTTTTGCCTCATCTTTGATACCTCCCTCCCCAAACTCACCAAAAAATGGAGACTTGACTAATAGCATTATTTCTTCTGCCTCAAAGAACACTTCACCGTCCACCTCCTCAGCTGAAAATTCAGATCTGTCATCCAAAGAAGTGTTACCCAAAGTTGAACCAAAACTAGAACTATATGCCAACACAGACACTCTCTGCAGCGCACTCTCAGCATCACATTCCAACGATAACATCCTCGAAGACATGTCAGATGGGGGGCCAGAACGCCTTCCAGGGACCCCTAAAAGCTCCAGTTCCCGTCGGAGATCAGCTGTATGGAAACACTTCTACCTGTCACCTGCTGACAATTCCAAAGCAGTTTGCATTCATTGCATGAATGAATTCAGTAGGGGTAAAAACGGCAAGGATCTAGGGACGAGCTGTCTGATTCGTCATATGTGGAGAGCCCACAAAGAGGTTGTTATTGAGGAAAATGGGCAGGGCAATCACATTCCCCCACCTTATTCAAACCCACCCTCACTGTTGTCCCGAACACAGCTACAGGATCCCCTCGAATTCAAAAAAGAATCACCTCTTCTACCATCCTCCCCAGAAACCATATCTGATGAATTACCCCAAAGCATCGAGGAAAGCATGGATGTTATAGAAGAATCTGATGAGGCAATGCATCTCTCAGGGCAAGAGTCTTCTGTCAATCTTTCCTTCAAAATTCAAGGGGATGACACACCCCTAACCTCCTCACCATGTGACCTCTCTGAGAGCCCCAGCCTAAATCAGAATCACTCAGTTTTCCAGCAAAACAAGAAGATCATGAAACGGGTGAAATCTGAAGTGTGGCATCATTTCATAGTGTCACCAGTTGACCAGTTAAAAGCACTGTGCCGTTACTGTCCGTGTGTCATCAGTCGGGGAAAACGGGGTGACTTCGGTACAAGCTGTCTGATGAGGCATCTTATGAGACGCCACCCAGACGTTCTCAAAAACCAAAAAAGCACAGATGAGAAGGAACCCTCCCCTCATCCCTACGCCGGTCTCACAGCAACAGATGCAGTTTCAACCAAAGAAACTGAGAGCCCTGCTGATGAGAAAAAGCCACAAATTTTGCCTGTTTTCAGCAAAAAGACATCAAAACTGTGGAACCATTTTTCCATTTCCCCTGCTGACCCCACAAAGGTGGTTTGTTTGCACTGTAGCCGCACAATTAGCAGAGGCAAAAAGACTACGAACCTCGGGACAAGCTGCCTCTTCAGGCACATGCAGAGGTTTCACGGACATGTTCTTGAAAGTAACAATACTATCTCAGGTGATGTGCCATCTGCTGGAATTCAAGTGAAACAAGAGCTCATGGACACATCTGTGTATGAAACGGAACAGAACCCCGTGAGGTTTGACGAATACCACCCGGTTGCCAAAAAAATCACCAAACTTATTGCAGAAATGCTAGCACTGGATCTTCAGCCATCAGCCATGGTGGAGAATGCTGGACTTAATAGACTACTAGAGTACCTCCAGCCACAGTATTCTCTACCACCCTCTTCATACTTTACCAGCACTGCCATACCAGATATGTACGAAAGAGTCAAAGATGTGGTGCTGACCCACCTGAAAGAGGCAGAGGGTGGTGTAGTCCACTTCACGACTAGTATTTGGGTCAGTAGCCAGACCAGAGAATATTTGACCCTTACCGCCCACTGGGCGACATACGAGTCAAGTGTCAGACCCCAGGGACAGGACTTTCACTGTTCAGCTCTCCTAAGTGTCTCACAAATAGACTGTGATCATGATATGCATAACATCCCAAAGCAGCTTGAATATCTGTGGGATTCTTGGATCACCTCATCAGGGCTGAAGAAGGGGTTCACCGTAACTGATAACAACACTGTCAGAAACACCTTAGAGGACCATGGCCATGTCACCATGCAGTGTTTTGGACATACTTTAGACCTCATTGTAAGCGAAGCCATAAAGAGCCAGAGAATGGTTCAGAACCTCCTGAGTATTGCGCGAAAGATCTGTGAACGTGTACACCGCTCAGCAGCGGCCAAGGAGAAACTGGCTGAGCTCCAGAAGGTCCACCAGCTGCCGGAGAACCAACTTATCCAGGATGTTCCTTCGAAATGGAGAACCTCCTTTTTCATGCTGGAGCGGCTGGTAGAACAGAAGAAAGCCATCGATGAGATGTCGATCGAGTGCAACTTCAGGGAAATAATCAGCTGTGACCAGTGGGAGGTGATGCTGTCAGTCTGCAATGCACTGAAACCTTTCGAAGTCGCCTACACAGAGATGAGTAACCGCACTGCCACTCTGGGACAAGTGATACCACTCATTCACATCCTCAACAGAAAGATAGACCTGCTGTTTGATGAGACTGTGGGCATAGACAACATGCTCAAGTCCTTGAAAGAAGCCATGGTGAGCAAAATATCTGCGACTCTGCATGACCCGCGATACACCTGGGCTACCATGCTGGACCCACGATACAAGACGTCGTTGTTCACAGAAGAGGAAGCCGAGCGGTGTAAACAAGATCTTATCCAGGAGCTGGACTCATCATCTTCTACCTCAGTGGCAGTTGAGCCTTCTCTGCCCAATGGCTGCAATGAGGCCACAGTGTCAACCGACAGCCCCAACTCGAACCAGGACAACCTCTGGTCCTTAATGGCTGATATCCGGCAAAAGATAAAACACGAGGAAAAGCCAAAGTCCTCAGAGCTGGCAGTGCTGGAATACCTTGAGGAAGATATACTTGATCAAAGCTGTGACCCCCTTGACTATTGGAACCTTAAAAAGTTCCTGTGGCCTGATCTTGCCAAAGTAGCTGCCCGTTATGTGGGCTGCCCTCCCAGCATCGTCCCAGCAGAGACACTGTTCAGCACAGCTAGTGTGAATTGTGCCCTAAATCAGCCAAGGCCTTTGTTGGAAAATATGGAGGGTCTGCTGTTCCTCAAGGTTAACCTCCCTCTGATTTATTTTCAGTACTGATTACTGTTGAGCATTAACTTGAAAACCCTTTATCAAGGACCAAGTTGCATAGCTGTGAAAGGGGTTGTTGAGCAAATGTAAAATTTCAATTTATACACTGATTATTCTCGAGGCCAGATTTTGACTTTTGTTGTACTACTGTTAAAACACTTTGGAGCTGTTGTGATGAAAAGTCTCAGTCAAAAGTGTATCAGGGAGGGAGGGTTTTTTCTAGCTGTAGGGGTTTGTTGATAATGTGTTTGCTTGTAAATTGATGTTTTCATTTTCTGTGTCTACTCTCTCCTTGTGCCTTATCCAAAACTACTTCAGGTCAAAATGCTGTAAATATTTTGTTAAAATTGCGCAAATCACTTCAGGATGCTTTTTTAATAATGATGTATTAAAGATAGATACAGAGTTGTTTTCTGGACGAAAACATGGCCCAAAAATAAATGCTGTGACTGAAAGATGTTTTTAAGTTAATGTTATTTAATTCTCGTTGTGATTTTGTGGCTCATGGTACTGTCATTTAGAAATAGACCTTTTTTTACTGGCGGAAATGTTTTTACTAAGGTCATGTATGGTATTGCTGTATTTTCAGAATAAGCCGTTTTGTTTGGGAAATAAAATTTGTCTTTTAAGCACAATTTAAGTTTATGTCCAGGGGGTTTAAATTATGGGTTTATTATCGAGTAAAATGATGTACTGTACATTTTTATTTTAAATTACTTCTGAACCTAATTTGATAAATGTTTTAGCATTGAGACTGGAACCATGCAAATTTTGTGGTCATTTGTAAATAAAGGTTTTCTAATGCAACATTACAAGAAGGGTTGGTTCTCAATTACAGGAATGTTTTAATGTGCAGACCATGGAGTTTTGAAACAAATGTCCATTGCAATACTGGAATTAAATTTATACTGATCAGTTTTAATCTACAAAGTCTTTCTCCCAAAATGTACAAATCCCACCCTCAGGTTCTGTCTACAAACCCGTCATACAAATCATCATACAAATCCAAGGAAACACAAAGCATCATCCATAAGTTTGAGAGAAAAAGAACTGTCATTACAATCATGAATATGGAATATTTACTCGTTCAGCATTTGGTAACAGTTTGTGGTGATAGTGATGTTGCAGTCTCTCCAGCGTGACAACAGAGTTCACCTTTGGTCTTATGTTTTTGGCCACTGTTCGACAGTTTTCCCATGGGGTCACTCTTTTATTTGCGTAGATGATGTCTTTTTCTCCATCAGCACAGTTTTTCTCTCTAACTGCACTCTGATGGGAGGGAAGTGGTTTAAATTAAAGGTGATCCTGCTGTAACCTTCTATGAAGGCCAGAGGCTGATGAGTGCTCTTGAGGAGTTGTATCTTTGTGGTGTTCGACTCCATCAGCAGGTGTGAGTACATTTTAAACTCTGGACTTGTAACACTCAGATCCTCTCGTTTGTCATACCTGTTAAAGAAAGAAAGACGTAGTAAAGTGATCGTTTTTTGCTCACAGAGGTTTTACCTTAAACAGTTTAAGATGACTTACTTCCAATTTGCGTTCTGCTCCAAGAAGCGAGATACTCCGGTTTCAGCTGCATAGGTGTCAATATGAACAAATACATCTAAGGGAACAAAAGCATTGTAAAACCATGTCAGCAGTTTTTAACCAATTTAGTATGAGTTAATTTATTAATTGTATTTGCAGACAGTTCTTTTTATTAGTATAGGGGAACTACATCAAACACTTTCAGTCGATGGGTAAACAATTGAGTTTACATTGGTTCTAACAGAATTTGGGGATAAAATGAAAAGGAAATTGAAGTATTCAGATATTACACATTTAATAAACGTTCTCCATATTTAAGTTGCAAATTTTGAATATATTCTCAATTGTTGGCCTGTCATAAAAAGAGGTAGGATCATGTTTAACACATTGTTTGTGGGGTAAAAATGCTGATATAAAGTCCAACCTGCTGTGACTGGCAACAGCCTGTGAAGTTCTTGCATTCCTCTGCCCCCCGGATAGTTGTGATGGGAAACATAGAGACAAACACTTGTGTATGCTGTATTAGTCAACAGCTGGCCAACCACAACTGCAGAGCCCAGTTTATACATCCAGGATTTCTGGTAGTTGCACAAACTAAAAGATAAAAGAAGAAACATGCCGTTTTTTTCAAAGCATGCTCATTTTACAAATGTTCATATTTAGCTTTTGAGCAAATAGGATTAACTGGTTTGAGGTAAAAAGACAATGCGAAGTACTTTGAATGCAAGCAGTGGTTTCAACTTACACAAACGAACAGCCTCTAGCAGCCACCAAACTGAGCACGGGGAAAGTGTATATGATGAAGCGCATTTCTTTGTGGGGCAACAGAGAGTAGATAAGGATGAAGCCCACAGTGGGGAGCAGCAGCAGCCTCATCCGCCTGTCAAAGAGGCCAAGGGGGACGAAGAGCAGTGTGCAGCCCAAAGCCCGGGGCACAGCAGAATAAAAGTACCAAAGAAAGGGAGCAGTTTACTGGGGAAAAGAAAGTCAAGGACCATTTTCATAAAGTAAAGACACAAACCAAACTAAAAGCGTAAGTAGATGCACTTGGTGGCTAAAACATCAGTGAGAGTATACTTGAGTAAATGAAAGGATATTCCCCAGTTGGCACTTTTGTTGAGAACAGTGTTGTACCACAGAACCTGACCTTCAGGCCACAAAAGCTTCCTCCAAAAAAGAGAGTCAACAGCCACTGTCAGAGCTGTAAAAATGGGAGAAAATTAAAACTTTTTGGGAGGGTTTATATATTGCACAGGACTGTTTACAGTGTATACAGTAGAGCTACTCACCAAGTGACAAGATCCCAGCAGGGACAGCATAGTAAAGCAGCTGCAGCAGCCCCAGCTTTCTGCTCAACAGCGATATCAGTAACAGGAGCCCCATGAAGATGCAGAGCTCTGACCGGAACACAATGATGGCTAAGGCAGACATGCTGACAAAGCGGCCATGTTTCTGAGCCATCCAAGAGGTGAAAGCTACAAGAACTAGGAGGAAAAATGTGAAATAATAATATGATCTGTAGGTTACTCATGAAATCTAAATGCAGAAAAATTAAAGCTCATTCCACTCAGTCTTATTATTTTATTAAAATCACATCTCACCTATTGGAAGTGCAAATACATTAGGTAGAGTTCTGGTGCTGTAGAACATGAAGTGAAATTGGGAAGCACACATCAGACAGAAGAGAGCTGCAACTGTGGAGCCAAACTGCCTCCTGACCTCCCTCTGCATGTGCCACAGTGAGCCAATGACACATAGTCCTAGGGACGCTCGGACTGGACAGACAACACCAAAGAGAAGAGATCAAGTTTAAGACAAGAAAGAGTGGTGTTTTTCCAACATGCCAATGTATGAAACATAAATAGGGATTAATGATTTACCTGTTAGCTGAGTGTAGAATTTTGGGGCATCCAGTAAGGAAGACAGGAATACAAAAGGGGAGCATAGCAGGGAGAGGAAAAGAGGTCCAAGGAAGGTACGTGGGACCACACCAGGGAACTCATGATGGTCATACTAAAAGACAGGTAAGGTTTTAGTCCTAATATCAACAACAATAATGGGCTTACACTAATCTAACATGCAGGGCTCTCAAGTCTCATGCATTCAGCGTGTGACACACATTCCCACCTGTTCACACGCTCACACGCCACACATTGTATTTCTCACGCATTTAAATGAACATGGTGATGTCCACCACGTTGCACCTCTTTAACCATGGAACAGGTAGAAATCAACTGAGTTTCTCCGAGAGTTCTGAAGCTGCGTGCCAGGCACAAGCCAATCAAATAAAGTATATCTACTGAACAGCCGATCAAAAAGCAGCATGTCTGTATCCGGGTAGAAATAGAGCAGGTTTTTATAAGGACGAGATAGACCCGATGATTACAGTAAGTCAGTAACCTACACATGCAGAGACCTCAACACCTCATGGCATATAAACTCATATAAAAAACTAAAGCCCTATGCTATTGCACGGCTCTAAAGTTTTGAACTAAGCTTAGAGTGACATTTCTTTGGGGGGGATGAAGAGTGATTGATGATAATTATTAGTATAATAATCTCTTAAATACAATGGAGTGTGAGGGTCACATTAAGAAAAAAAAAGCATTTTTAAATCTTAGAGAATAAAATTATTATTTAGGAGAATAAAGTCATTAATGTATAAGAATAAAGTCGTAAAGTTACCTGTTGTGGAGGAGAGTTGTTAAAATCAGCATTGTGGAGCATTGAGATGAATTGTACTATAGGTTTCACAAACATGGAGATACTTAATCCTTTGGTACATGAGCGTTACACTGTCATGAGTATCAGAACTTTAAAAAAAATATATATGAGAAATGCTGCTTTTGTGGAGGGGAAAATGGCTGGAAATGGCTGTACAGAGGCTAAATTCATCAATAAAGCTAGCAATAGCTGAGTAGTTGAGTATCCCCGCCTGTTAGGCGGGGTTCGATTCCCCGACGGGGAGTGAAAATCAAAACGGAAAGTGTCCGTCTTCTCGCTGGGTGAAGCCACTCTGAGGACAGCACCCTCTGGTGACGGGCTGCAGTATAGGTCATAAATCCCTGTCAGCCATCCTTAAGAGGCTGAGGACAAATTTTAGAAATCAATCACACATTAATCACAATTAATCACAATTCCCCTTGCTTACGATGTTGACATGTAGTTACTGTAAGACTGTTTTGTGCTCAAGTCCTCTTTTTTTCTGTACAGCTCTATTTTTAAAAATTATTAGGGAGTTCATGTTTCTTATGATTGACACTTGATACAGCCTGTGGGCGTACGGAGATTGCATAGCTCACCCAGGGGATGCGCTGTTTGAGTTGAGCATCATCAGAGCAACTCTCGGTGACTATCCTGCAGAATGCGTACAACACTACTCTGCAATGTTGGTTTCAGGATGTGGAGAAAAACGCACAATTACCGAGAGCTTTTCAGCTTTAAATCTGTATACTGGCAGAAGGCAGAACCAAGTTGTCCATAGTATATACAGTCTGTGGTCGGAACTCTGAGGAGCACAGAGAGAATCTGTCACTAAAACAGAGAATAAGACAATGATTCAGCACTCTGCACTGGAGCTCAAGGACTTGCATCACCTTCCCAAACCTGACTTCACTTAAGCCAATCAAGTACTGACAAACCTGGTGCTGCTCTGGACTGATTTCCTCCTACAACTCAAAGAATGACCACAGTGAACTGCCTTTCACACCAGATGGTGATCATGCAGTCCACACCCTGGCTCTCATATGCACCAGTTTCTGCAAGATGGAGAAAGGGGAATTCCCCTCAGAAGGCAGGTGCTTCTGGGGGAATTCCCCACTGGGGGGTGTGACATCACAATGACATGTAGAATGTGATGTCACACGATGACATCACGTTCTATGTAGAATGACATCACACGATGACATCACTTTCTAGCTTTGATCCTTTGATCTTTGAAAAGCAAACTCAACTCAGATCGCACACTTGTTGGCAAGAGTCACGTAGGAGCTACTACAGAGACGATCAACAGTTAAGTCACGTACGAGCTACTACAGAGACGATCAACAGTTTAGAGCAGTCGGCTGAAGACAAATCAGAAGAACCATGTCCAGAGCAATCGCACCTGAATCTGTGGGACCGATGGGCTACCAGTCCATGGCACCACTTCAACAGGAGCTTGACAGTGCTTGCGCTGAGATTAGAAATCTTAGAAGCGAGCCAATGGATGAACAGTTGGCATGGAGGGATGAGAAGATAAAGCTGTGCCACAGAATTCACAACGGGAAGTACAAAGTGAACCGTCTGGAGGGACTCATTGACATCAGAGAAAATGGATTCAAGGAAGAACTCCAGAATAATGTCCATACTATTGAAAGGCTGGAGGCTGAGATCCAACGCCTCAACAGCACCCTCAAATTAAGAGACAAGCAGCTGGAGCTTATCCAGCGCCTGCAGAAGGAGCAGGAAGAGAAGATGTGGGCTCAACTTAAGGAGGAGAGACAGAAAGCTCATGAGCTCAGAGAACAGCTTTTTCAGGCGTCTCAGGAGAACCTGAAGGCTGTTTCTCTGAGCAAGAGCAATGAAACAATGTTGAGGCTCACAAAACAGCAGCTTGAGCAGAGGGACAAACACATAATGGAGCTGAGGAGGGAGAAGGAGGGTCTCACTCAAAGACTCATTGAGACCACAACTCAGCTGCAAAACAACGAGACCCTCCAGAAGAAAAAAGGAAAGACCTGGAGGAGGAGAACCAGATCCTGAAGACCAGAGTCAGTGAGCTGGAGAAAATGAACAAAGATCTGGTGGAAAAGGAGGAGACTCTGACCTTCAGAGTTGAAGAGGCCGAGACGGCAAAAGGAGGAGTGATTGAGAAGGAAAAGACTCTGACAGACAGAATTCAAGAGTTAGAGGAGGAGAAGAGGGAGCTGACTCATCTCATCTCTCTAAAGAAAAGACGCTTCCTGTCTAGAGTCTTTCAAAAGGAGACAGAGGAGGAGAAAACCCTCCGAAAACAACTTAAAGAGAAGAAGAAGGAATTAAGGCAGCTGAGAGAAAGAGAAAAAGAGGAGGAAAGAGAACAAGAAGAAGAGCAAAGAGAACAAGAAGAAGAGGAAAGAGAACATGAAGAGGAGAAAAGCAAAAACCAAGACAGGGGGAGAAAGAGAGTCAAAAAAGGTCTCTGGACCTTAAGAAAGAAGAGAAACAGAAACACCCGGGTGGAGGAGGTTGCTGGTTGCTCAGCTGATGTCGAGGAACATTAGCTCCTCTTCCTCCCTCTTCATTCCCTACCTTGACCCTTTCACCCTATATATTTTTTTAAAAAGCTGCAAAAAAAAGCAAATATATATATTTTTAAATGTATAAAGAATATACATTGAAAAAAAAATAAATATATATTTTTATATAAAAAAATTAAACAAATAAAATATATTTTTATATAAAAAAAACAAAAAATAATAAAAAAAATATATTTTTATATTTAAAAAAAATAAATGTATTTATATTTTTATACAAAAAAAAAAAAAATCAAAATATAAAAATATAATCACAAATTTTTCCCCTCCTCGAGCCACCACCTTACCGTGGTGGAGGGGTTTGCGTGAAAAAATCCCCCCTTCCAAAAAAAGAAAAATCAAGAAAAATCAAGGAAAAAAATTAAATAAAAATATTAAAAGGAAAAAAAAACCCTCCAAAAAAACCCTCAAAAGAAAAACAAAAAACAAAAAAAAACTCTAAAAAAAAAAAACTTCAAAAAAACAAACAAAAAAAAAAACCTAAAAAAAAAAAATAAATAATAAAAAAAAACCCTCGTGGTTTTTCCCTCCAATTGGAGGGTTTTTCCCCTCCTCGAGCCACCACCTTACCGTGGTGGAGGGGTTTGCGTGTCCCACTTATCCCAGGAGCTAAGTTGTCAGGTGCTTTATGCCTCTAGTAGGGTCAACCAAGGCAAACAGGTCCTGGGAGAGGGATCAGACTAAGGGTGGCTCAAATAGACCTTTGATGATGGGTAGTAGATTTACTATATACTGAGTTTTACTCACCCCCTTACACCTTATTAATCAATCTAATTTTTTGGGCACTAAGGTAAAGAGAGGGGCGGAGCTGTTTACTGATCACCACCTGGTGGTGAGTTGGTCCGGGTGGCGGGGGAGGATGTCGATCAGACCCAGCAGACCAAAATGCAATGTGTAATGAACAGCTGTCTTGGAGATCTTCAGTTTTTTGGCTACCTGTCTCTCACTCATGCCAATTTCCAGCATTGGAATCCAGATTCTGATACAGAACTATGTGAGATAAGTTACTGATGTTAAGGATCTGCCATAACTTTAGCATGGACAGTAACACATCTCTTCAGGGAAGGTTTTTGCAATTATTGCAGATTACACTCATCAAAGTGACGCAAAGCAATACAAGTGTTCATTATTGAGTTTTACATTCTGTCTGCTCTCTGATTTGGTTTTTCTAAGCAGGCATGGGATACATTTGTCGCTGTAAAAGGCCATTAATAAGGCTTTTCAGGATGTCAATTACATATGGTTAGCTAAACACTGTTGCAATACCATATTTGTATCGTATTGTATCCTATTGTGTAGTATAATATCGTATCATTTTGTATAGTATCATATCGTATCATATTGTTCCATATTATATCATATCATGTCAGAACACATTCTCCTCGTTAGTATAGTGGTTGAGTATCCCCGCCTGTTAGGCGGGGTTCGATTCCCCGACGGGGAGTGAAAATCAAAACGGAAAGTGTCCGTCTTCTCGCTGGGTGAAGCCACTCTGAGGACAGCACCCTCTGGTGACGGGCTGCAGTATAGGTCATAAATCCCTGTCAGCCATCCTTAAGAGGCTGAGGACAAATTTTAGAAATCAATCACACATTAATCACAATTAATCACAATTCCCCTTGCTTACGATGTTGACATGTAGTTACTGTAAGACTGTTTTGTGCTCAAGTCCTCTTTTTTTCTGTACAGCTCTATTTTTAAAAATTATTAGGGAGTTCATGTTTCTTATGATTGACACTTGATACAGCCTGTGGGCGTACGGAGATTGCATAGCTCACCCAGGGGATGCGCTGTTTGAGTTGAGCATCATCAGAGCAACTCTCGGTGACTATCCTGCAGAATGCGTACAACACTACTCTGCAATGTTGGTTTCAGGATGTGGAGAAAAACGCACAATTACCGAGAGCTTTTCAGCTTTAAATCTGTATACTGGCAGAAGGCAGAACCAAGTTGTCCATAGTATATACAGTCTGTGGTCGGAACTCTGAGGAGCACAGAGAGAATCTGTCACTAAAACAGAGAATAAGACAATGATTCAGCACTCTGCACTGGAGCTCAAGGACTTGCATCACCTTCCCAAACCTGACTTCACTTAAGCCAATCAAGTACTGACAAACCTGGTGCTGCTCTGGACTGATTTCCTCCTACAACTCAAAGAATGACCACAGTGAACTGCCTTTCACACCAGATGGTGATCATGCAGTCCACACCCTGGCTCTCATATGCACCAGTTTCTGCAAGATGGAGAAAGGGGAATTCCCCTCAGAAGGCAGGTGCTTCTGGGGGAATTCCCCACTGGGGGGTGTGACATCACAATGACATGTAGAATGTGATGTCACACGATGACATCACGTTCTATGTAGAATGACATCACACGATGACATCACTTTCTAGCTTTGATCCTTTGATCTTTGAAAAGCAAACTCAACTCAGATCGCACACTTGTTGGCAAGAGTCACGTAGGAGCTACTACAGAGACGATCAACAGTTAAGTCACGTACGAGCTACTACAGAGACGATCAACAGTTTAGAGCAGTCGGCTGAAGACAAATCAGAAGAACCATGTCCAGAGCAATCGCACCTGAATCTGTGGGACCGATGGGCTACCAGTCCATGGCACCACTTCAACAGGAGCTTGACAGTGCTTGCGCTGAGATTAGAAATCTTAGAAGCGAGCCAATGGATGAACAGTTGGCATGGAGGGATGAGAAGATAAAGCTGTGCCACAGAATTCACAACGGGAAGTACAAAGTGAACCGTCTGGAGGGACTCATTGACATCAGAGAAAATGGATTCAAGGAAGAACTCCAGAATAATGTCCATACTATTGAAAGGCTGGAGGCTGAGATCCAACGCCTCAACAGCACCCTCAAATTAAGAGACAAGCAGCTGGAGCTTATCCAGCGCCTGCAGAAGGAGCAGGAAGAGAAGATGTGGGCTCAACTTAAGGAGGAGAGACAGAAAGCTCATGAGCTCAGAGAACAGCTTTTTCAGGCGTCTCAGGAGAACCTGAAGGCTGTTTCTCTGAGCAAGAGCAATGAAACAATGTTGAGGCTCACAAAACAGCAGCTTGAGCAGAGGGACAAACACATAATGGAGCTGAGGAGGGAGAAGGAGGGTCTCACTCAAAGACTCATTGAGACCACAACTCAGCTGCAAAACAACGAGACCCTCCAGAAGAAAAAAAGGAAAGACCTGGAGGAGGAGAACCAGATCCTGAAGACCAGAGTCAGTGAGCTGGAGAAAATGAACAAAGATCTGGTGGAAAAGGAGGAGACTCTGACCTTCAGAGTTGAAGAGGCCGAGACGGCAAAAGGAGGAGTGATTGAGAAGGAAAAGACTCTGACAGACAGAATTCAAGAGTTAGAGGAGGAGAAGAGGGAGCTGACTCATCTCATCTCTCTAAAGAAAAGACGCTTCCTGTCTAGAGTCTTTCAAAAGGAGACAGAGGAGGAGAAAACCCTCCGAAAACAACTTAAAGAGAAGAAGAAGGAATTAAGGCAGCTGAGAGAAAGAGAAAAAGAGGAGGAAAGAGAACAAGAAGAAGAGCAAAGAGAACAAGAAGAAGAGGAAAGAGAACATGAAGAGGAGAAAAGCAAAAACCAAGACAGGGGGAGAAAGAGAGTCAAAAAAGGTCTCTGGACCTTAAGAAAGAAGAGAAACAGAAACACCCGGGTGGAGGAGGTTGCTGGTTGCTCAGCTGATGTCGAGGAACATTAGCTCCTCTTCCTCCCTCTTCATTCCCTACCTTGACCCTTTCACCCTATATATTTTTTTAAAAAGCTGCAAAAAAAAAGCAAATATATATATTTTTAAATGTATAAAGAATATACATTGAAAAAAAAATAAATATATATTTTTATATAAAAAAATTAAACAAATAAAATATATTTTTATATAAAAAAAACAAAAAATAATAAAAAAAATATATTTTTATATTTAAAAAAAATAAATGTATTTATATTTTTATACAAAAAAAAAAAAAATCAAAATATAAAAATATAATCACAAATTTTTCCCCTCCTTGAGCCACCACCTTACCGTGGTGGAGGGGTTTGCTTGAAAAAATCCCCCCCTCCAAAAAAAGAAAAATCAAGAAAAATCTGGGAAAAAAAATAACTAAAAATATTAAAAGGAAAAAAAAACCCTCCAAAAAAACCCTCAAAAGAAAAACAAAAAACAAAAAAAAACTCTAAAAAAAAAAAAAAAAACCTCAAAAAAAAAAAAAAAAACTCTGGTGGTTTTTCCCTCCAATTGGAGGGTTTTTCCCCTCCTCGAGCCACCACCTTACCGTGGTGGAGGGGTTTGCGTGTCCCAGTTATCCCGGGCTAAGTTGTCGGGTGCTTTATGCCTCTGGTAGGGTCAACCAAGGCAAACAGGTCCTGGGAGAGGGATCAGACTAAGGGTGGCTCAAATAGACCTTTGATGATGGGTAGTAGATTTACTATATACTGAGTTTTACTCACCCCCTTACACCTTATTAATCAATCTAATTTTTTGGGCACTAAGGTAAAGAGAGGGGCGGAGCTGTTTACTGATCACCACCTGGTGGTGAGTTGGTCCGGGTGGCGGGGGAGGATGTCGATCAGACCCAGCAGACCAAAATGCAATGTGTAATGAACAGCTGTCTTGGAGATCTTCAGTTTTTTGGCTACCTGTCTCTCACTCATGCCAATTTCCAGCATTGGAATCCAGATTCTGATACAGAACTATGTGAGATACGTTACTGATGTTAAGGATCTGCCATAACTTTAGCATGGACAGTAACACATCTCTTCAGGGAAGGTTTTTGCAATTATTGCAGATTACACTCATCAAAGTGACGCAAAGCAATACAAGTGTTCATTATTGAGTTTTACATTCTGTCTGCTCTCTGATTTGGTTTTTCTAAGCAGGCATGGGATACATTTGTCGCTGTAAAAGGCCATTAATAAGGCTTTTCAGGATGTCAATTACATATGGTTAGCTAAACACTGTTGCAATACCATATTTGTATCGTATTGTATCCTATTGTGTAGTATAATATCGTATCATTTTGTATAGTATCATATTGTATCATATTGTTCCATATTATATCATATCATGTCAGAACACATTCTCCTCGTTAGTATAGTGGTGAGTATCCCCGCCTGTTAGGCGGGAGACCGGGGTTTGATTCCCCGACGGGGAGTGAAAATCAAAACGGAAAGTGTCCGTCTTCTCGCTGGGTGAAGCCACTCTGAGGACAGCACCCTCTGGTGACGGGCTGCAGTATAGGTCATAAATCCCTGTCAGCCATCCTTAAGAGGCTGAGGACAAATTTTAGAAATCAATCACACATTAATCACAATTAATCACAATTCCCCTTGCTTACGATGTTGACATGTAGTTACTGTAAGACTGTTTTGTGCTCAAGTCCTCTTTTTTTCTGTACAGCTCTATTTTTAAAAATTATTAGGGAGTTCATGTTTCTTATGATTGACACTTGATACAGCCTGTGGGCGTACGGAGATTGCATAGCTCACCCAGGGGATGCGCTGTTTGAGTTGAGCATCATCAGAGCAACTCTCGGTGACTATCCTGCAGAATGCGTACAACACTACTCTGCAATGTTGGTTTCAGGATGTGGAGAAAAACGCACAATTACCGAGAGCTTTTCAGCTTTAAATCTGTATACTGGCAGAAGGCAGAACCAAGTTGTCCATAGTATATACAGTCTGTGGTCGGAACTCTGAGGAGCACAGAGAGAATCTGTCACTAAAACAGAGAATAAGACAATGATTCAGCACTCTGCACTGGAGCTCAAGGACTTGCATCACCTTCCCAAACCTGACTTCACTTAAGCCAATCAAGTACTGACAAACCTGGTGCTGCTCTGGACTGATTTCCTCCTACAACTCAAAGAATGACCACAGTGAACTGCCTTTCACACCAGATGGTGATCATGCAGTCCACACCCTGGCTCTCATATGCACCAGTTTCTGCAAGATGGAGAAAGGGGAATTCCCCTCAGAAGGCAGGTGCTTCTGGGGGAATTCCCCACTGGGGGGTGTGACATCACAATGACATGTAGAATGTGATGTCACACGATGACATCACGTTCTATGTAGAATGACATCACACGATGACATCACTTTCTAGCTTTGATCCTTTGATCTTTGAAAAGCAAACTCAACTCAGATCGCACACTTGTTGGCAAGAGTCACGTAGGAGCTACTACAGAGACGATCAACAGTTAAGTCACGTACGAGCTACTACAGAGACGATCAACAGTTTAGAGCAGTCGGCTGAAGACAAATCAGAAGAACCATGTCCAGAGCAATCGCACCTGAATCTGTGGGACCGATGGGCTACCAGTCCATGGCACCACTTCAACAGGAGCTTGACAGTGCTTGCGCTGAGATTAGAAATCTTAGAAGCGAGCCAATGGATGAACAGTTGGCATGGAGGGATGAGAAGATAAAGCTGTGCCACAGAATTCACAACGGGAAGTACAAAGTGAACCGTCTGGAGGGACTCATTGACATCAGAGAAAATGGATTCAAGGAAGAACTCCAGAATAATGTCCATACTATTGAAAGGCTGGAGGCTGAGATCCAACGCCTCAACAGCACCCTCAAATTAAGAGACAAGCAGCTGGAGCTTATCCAGCGCCTGCAGAAGGAGCAGGAAGAGAAGATGTGGGCTCAACTTAAGGAGGAGAGACAGAAAGCTCATGAGCTCAGAGAACAGCTTTTTCAGGCGTCTCAGGAGAACCTGAAGGCTGTTTCTCTGAGCAAGAGCAATGAAACAATGTTGAGGCTCACAAAACAGCAGCTTGAGCAGAGGGACAAACACATAATGGAGCTGAGGAGGGAGAAGGAGGGTCTCACTCAAAGACTCATTGAGACCACAACTCAGCTGCAAAACAACGAGACCCTCCAGAAGAAAAAAGGAAAGACCTGGAGGAGGAGAACCAGATCCTGAAGACCAGAGTCAGTGAGCTGGAGAAAATGAACAAAGATCTGGTGGAAAAGGAGGAGACTCTGACCTTCAGAGTTGAAGAGGCCGAGACGGCAAAAGGAGGAGTGATTGAGAAGGAAAAGACTCTGACAGACAGAATTCAAGAGTTAGAGGAGGAGAAGAGGGAGCTGACTCATCTCATCTCTCTAAAGAAAAGACGCTTCCTGTCTAGAGTCTTTCAAAAGGAGACAGAGGAGGAGAAAACCCTCCGAAAACAACTTAAAGAGAAGAAGAAGGAATTAAGGCAGCTGAGAGAAAGAGAAAAAGAGGAGGAAAGAGAACAAGAAGAAGAGCAAAGAGAACAAGAAGAAGAGGAAAGAGAACATGAAGAGGAGAAAAGCAAAAACCAAGACAGGGGGAGAAAGAGAGTCAAAAAAGGTCTCTGGACCTTAAGAAAGAAGAGAAACAGAAACACCCGGGTGGAGGAGGTTGCTGGTTGCTCAGCTGATGTCGAGGAACATTAGCTCCTCTTCCTCCCTCTTCATTCCCTACCTTGACCCTTTCACCCTATATATTTTTTTAAAAAGCTGCAAAAAAAGCAAATATATATATTTTTAAATGTATAAAGAATATACATTGAAAAAAAATATATATATATTTTTATATAAAAAAATAAAACAAATAAAATATATTTTTATATAAAAAAACAAAAAATAATAAAAAATTTTTTTTTTTATATTTAAAAAAAATAAATGTATTTATATTTTTATACAAAAAAAAAAAAAATCAAAATATAAAAATATAATCACAAATTTTTCCCCTCCTCGAGCCACCACCTTACCGTGGTGGAGGGGTTTGCGTGAAAAAATCCCCCCTTCCAAAAAAAGAAAAATCAAGAAAAATCAAGGAAAAAAATTAAATAAAAAAATTAAAAGGGAAAAAAAAACCCTCCAAAAAAACCCTCAAAAGAAAAACAAAAAACAAAAAAAACCTCTAAAAAAAAAAAAAAAAAACAAAAAAAAAAAAAAACTTCAAAAAAACAAACAAAAAAAAAAACCTAAAAAAAAAAAATAAATAAAAAAAAAAAACCCTCGTGGTTTTTCCCTCCAATTGGAGGGTTTTTCCCCTCCTCGAGCCACCACCTTACCGTGGTGGAGGGGTTTGCGTGTCCCACTTATCCCAGGAGCTAAGTTGTCAGGTGCTTTATGCCTCTAGTAGGGTCAACCAAGGCAAACAGGTCCTGGGAGAGGGATCAGACTAAGGGTGGCTCAAATAGACCTTTGATGATGGGTAGTAGATTTACTATATACTGAGTTTTACTCACCCCCTTACACCTTATTAATCAATCTAATTTTTTGGGCACTAAGGTAAAGAGAGGGGCGGAGCTGTTTACTGATCACCACCTGGTGGTGAGTTGGTCCGGGTGGCGGGGGAGGATGTCGATCAGACCCAGCAGACCAAAATGCAATGTGTAATGAACAGCTGTCTTGGAGATCTTCAGTTTTTTGGCTACCTGTCTCTCACTCATGCCAATTTCCAGCATTGGAATCCAGATTCTGATACAGAACTATGTGAGATAAGTTACTGATGTTAAGGATCTGCCATAACTTTAGCATGGACAGTAACACATCTCTTCAGGGAAGGTTTTTGCAATTATTGCGCATTACACTCATCAAAGTGACGCAAAGCAATACAAGTGTTCATTATTGAGTTTTACATTCTGTCTGCTCTCTGATTTGGTTTTTCTAAGCGGGCATGGGATACATTTGTCGCTGTAAAAGGCAATTAATAAGGCTTTTCAGGATGTCAATTACATATGGTTAGCTAAACACTGTTGCAATACCATATTTGTATCGTATTGTATCCTATTGTGTAGTATAATATCGTATCATTTTGTATAGTATCATATCGTATCATATTGTTCCATATTATATCATATCATGTCAGAACACATTCTCCTCGTTAGTATAGTGGTGAGTATCCCCGCCTGTTAGGCGGGAGACCGGGGTTCGATTCCCCGACGGGGAGTGAAAATCAAAACGGAAAGTGTCCGTCTTCTCGCTGGGTGAAGCCACTCTGAGGACAGCACCCTCTGGTGACGGGCTGCAGTATAGGTCATAAATCCCTGTCAGCCATCCTTAAGAGGCTGAGGACAAATTTTAGAAATCAATCACACATTAATCACAATTAATCACAATTCCCCTTGCTTGCGATGTTGACATGTAGTTACTTTAAGACTGTTTTGTGCTCAAGTCCTCTTTTTTCTGTACAGCTCTATTTTTAAAAGTTATTAGGGGGTTCATGTCCACACAATGTGGACTGTCATGATGACAGTGTAATGCTCATGTACCAAAGGATTAAGTATTTCCATGTTTGTGAAACCTATACTAAAGTACAATTCATCTAAATGCTTCACAGTGCTGATTTTAACAACTCTCCTGCACAACAGGTAACTTTACGACTTTATTCTTATATATTAATGACTTTATTCTCCTCAATAATAACTTTAGTCTCGAAGATTTAAAAACGTTTTTTTTCCTTAATGTGGCCCTCATACCCCAAGGAAATCTCACTCTTAGCTTAGTTCAAAACTTGAGAGCCCTATAACACGACTTCATGTTAACTCCACATGGTAATCTACAGTTGTAAAATACAATTGTAGTTCAGAGAAAACACAACGAACTCTTCAGGATACATTCTTTAAATTTAACACCTGACATGGCTTTAAGATCATGGAGTTAAATACACCACGTCGAGTCGAATTTTTAAAACACAAAGCTGCCTTAAATGCTGTTTGTACAGTTTTCTTCAGAAGTTGTCTTCTGCCTCATTCGTTCATTCATTGTTATTATACTCTGATAGCTCGCGTGCACATTGACTTCTTGCTTTCATCGTTTTCTTACCCTGTCAAAGTTCAGTCTGTGATAGAGAATATCATGCGCCGCTTGTACATTGAAGCTCTCCTCGACTTTGGTGAACGGGCAGATTATTAGATGAAACAGAGACACAGATATCAATAAAAACAGCAGTGGTAGCCCCAGTACATGCCTTTTTTCAGCCATGACAGCTGAAATATTACGATAACTTCCGGTCAGAAGAGGAAACGTCCTCTACGAAAATTTTCTACATTTTTTAATTTATTGACGGTGTCTGTGGTGATTAAATCGGGATGTTTTTACACATTTTTCTCAAAACTGCACTCGAAAAGAAAAAAATAATGTGATTTGAATAATTGTGTAGGAATTCGTGGATTTTCCACGTGGGGATGGAACTCTTTGTCCCGCGCGTGGCGGGTTGTGATTGGTTGTACACTTGAATGGCAGGTAGTCTTAGCCAATCAGAGCGGGACACAATCTAACCAAGAGGCTGACGCGGAAATCCGAAACAGCTCGGTTTTTTTAACACCCGGCATGTAAATATTACTTTGCTGGGCTTTGCATACATAATCCCTTTGATTTAATGCTACGAGGATGTGTGAGAACCGTGCAGTATCCTGGTTTTAGCAGAAAGTCTGCTTCCGTGAGGCTGAAGTGTCCTGATATGTGACTGTGTGTTGAATTAGTCCACTGAGATGCTGTCCTCCGGTCCAAAGCTGCTGGCTCTGTGCTCCTGTCTCAGTCTGCTTGTACTTTCTCATGTCATAGAGGCAAAGAAGGATTTTAAAAGCGCCTGTTCTACCTGTAAGGAAATAACTGATAACTTCGAAAAGGTAAGAAAACAGTCACAAACTTCCCACTGTGGGGTTTGTTTTCTTCATTTTGTTGGTATTTCCGTGGTTCCATCAGTGTTGTTGTGTTTTTACTACTGGAAGTGTCAGACTTTTCTCAGGTTCACCAGTTTCTGTCATAATCAATCACACCATATCATTTTTAGGGGTATGATCGAACAGCAAAGCAGAACTTTGGGGGAGGCAACACAGCCTGGGAGGAGAGAAAACTGTCTAAATATGAGACCAGGTAAGACACCTGTCCAAAATACAGGTCGCCATGCTCCAGACCAAGGCCCATGTTTGCTCTCAGCCTCAGCTGCAGGTCTTTGTGCTTGATAGCAGAGTAGTGTCTCAGAGTGTGTCTTCAGAGTCTTCTGAGCTCCTCTTCTACCCATGTGGACTTAGGTAGGGGAGAGTGGGGTAAGATGAGCCACCCCCTGTTGCTTGGAAATGGTAAAAGAAATTGATCATGTGACCAAATATTTAGGTGATGGGCATCAATTCATGTAGTCTGTGAAGGTTAGAAGCACATGGTTGAAGGGGTTAGACATTTATTTCCAAAAAAACATTTTTCTCTCGTATAAGTGAATTTAGTCTGTTGTAACTTTTATTAGAATTGTGTTCAGACCAAAAAAGATGTAGTGATCTGAAATGTGAAAAATGGTTCATCTTACCCCACTCTCCCCTCCTGGTAAATATCCAAAGTGTAGCACCTGACACTTATTTATTGTGAAATTCCTACTCTTGCATGACCTACTTAACTGTTTGGTTTCCTGCATTTGAATCCAAATATTCAATCATGAACTAACTTGTGTTATCTAACCATTTATCAATCAATCAGTTTTCAGTCAATCACCTTATTTATATAGTACTTTTCATACACAACCATGTAGCAAAAAGTGCTTTACACAGAAAAAGGAATAAAAGAAACAAAGAATACCCAAATCTATCCCAACCCAACCCCTCATTCCTACCCCATGATCTAAATGCAACAGAAACAGTATTAAAATGCATAAACTTAAAAAGTGCTTGATTTCGTGAAAACAGGAACATGTGCACTGAGGAAACGTCATTTTAAAACTCAAAATAAGGAAACACTGGAGGTTTAGGTTAAAATCTGAGAAGAAAGTAACATAGAAGGAAGTTTAAGAAATAATAGATAAAAAAAGAAATAAAAACAACAGTAAAAGATACAAAAATGAGAGCACCCAAATAGCTCAATAAAAGACAATTCTGTCATTAAAACTAGAAAGAGATAAAACAGATAAAACACACAAACAAAGTTAATGATATAAAATTTAGTTAAAAGCAAGACTATTTATTTATGTGCTGGCACAGACTAACTTCCTCTCCTGTTCCCTCTGAACTTCTTGTCATTGATTTCACCCAGTAACTCGCGTTTGTGTTGTGCTTCCTTTACAGTGAAATTCGTCTCGTTGAGATTCTGGAGGGGCTGTGTGAAAGCAGTAGTTTTGAATGTAACCGTATGCTAGAGGAACACGAAGAGCACTTTGAGACATGGTGGTTCAAACGGTGGGTGTGGAAATATTTTCAAAGACAAAAGACTCACCTGCAGGGTTTTCTGTGTACTGAACAATTGCTTCATTTGGTGAAACATGGCAAACCTGATCTTTTTGTTGGGTTTCTTTTCACAATGCAGGAAAACAAAACATCCTGATCTGAATAAGTGGTTCTGCATTGAAACCATAAAGGTTTGCTGTCCAAAAGGAACATTTGGACCAGACTGTAATGGTGAGAAAACACTTCTAAAGCACATTTATATTGTGTATTGGTTCTGCTTCTGTCACAGCAAAGAAAGCAATGTTTTTTCAATGGAAACCCTGTGTTGCTGCATGAAAAACGTCTTCTCTGCTGTTTGATTGAACCTCTTCCAGCCTGTGTGGGGGGCTCTGACAGACCTTGTCATGGAAATGGAAAGTGTGATGGTGATGGAACTCGTGGAGGAAATGGAAAGTGCAGCTGTGATCTAGGTTATGAAGGAGAATTCTGTCTGGACTGCATGGATGGTTACTTCAACAAAGAGAAGAATGACACCTTCTCTCTGTGTTCAGGTACGCTTCAGCACACCGAACTTAGTAAAAAAGAAGTAAAAAAATGCGAGTTACAGACTGTGAGCCTGAATATGTGGCTCCTTTAGAATGCCACTCCTCCTGCAAAACCTGCACTGGAGCAACCCACCAGGACTGTGACGAGTGCAAAGACGGCTGGGAGGAGGATGATCAGGAAGCTTGTGTCGGTGAGTGAGTTCTTGCGTTGGTGTGTGACAGTCAAATACAAACATCTCAAAGTTAATCCAAAAGCTGCGATTCTACAAAATATGTCATTTACAGCCTTTTCTTTGGCATAATACTGTTTGCAGCTGTATTTGAGAAGCAGATACTTTTCATCAAGATGTATTAAAAACTGCTGATATCTGTCTGATCTTTTTTACTGTTATTATGAAGCTGTCTTCATGCAGAGCTGTAGTAAAGAAACGTTAAAGTTACAGCCACATCTGCTGTCATTTATGTAAGAACATTGTATAGGGTGTAATCTTGACCTCACTGCGATCCATGTGTTGTGTCACAGATGTGAATGAGTGCGCCAAAGAAGTCTCTCCATGTACAGAACATCAATACTGCCTAAACACAGAAGGCTCCTACTCCTGCAAGAGTAAGAAAACACACTTGAACGTAGCTCATCATTCTTTGTTTGCACTGTAGATGGCAGATAAAATCACCAAAGCCTTACTAAAATACTTGTAGGACTTAATGTGATAGTTGTTTGAGAGGAAATTCCCCAGTAACTGATCTCTGTGAGTTGATGTAATATTTTTTAATCAATAAGGCTTACTTTATTTAATCATTTTTAAATTATGAATCAATCCAGCCTCAGTTCTTAGAAACATTTGCTTGAGACAGTGCTAAGAGTATTGTAAACACACAGTTTATGTTGTGTTGTGACCTTGGGGATAAATTGTATTGTAACCCTGTTTCTAAATGACTCAGCATTGTGTATAGATGCCAATACTGTGATATATCTGTGAGCCAAATGATATCACAAATTTGGGTCATTTGTATTTTTGCTGTCATAAATTCTATAGAAAAAAAGACAAATAGAAATATCACTCTGCATATAACTGTAGAAATGAACTTTTATCATGATAGCATTATGGTTGTCCACTGTATTTACTGAGAATTGAAAGTGTTGTTGTTTGACACTGTTCACAGCTTGTGATAAAGAGTGCTCTGGCTGCACTGGAGCTGGTCCTGATAAGTGCCAAACATGTGCCAATGGGTACCAAGACACAGATGGCACCTGCACAGGTATGTACTGTAAAAAAAATGAACAAAATACAAAAAAATTCCTCTGTGTCTGTCAGCAAAAGTCTGCCCAATTTTAAAAAGTCACCACAATATGAGAACAAAATATAAGGCCAGTGTTTTTTATAAGTAGAAACATCTGACACTTAAAAAAAAAAAAAAATTTGGTTGTCTTTAGACATCAAGTTTTTATGTATTCAAATGAATGAAACATACAGGTGCATCTCTGGTTGGATATTTCCCTGAGTGAAAATTGAACTTATTCTCAACTTTTTGCATATATAATGTTTCAAGAATTTCTGTGTTTCATTCTTATAATTATAGCCTACAACCAAAAAAAGTCAAATTGAATATAGAAAAATAAACCTCTTTTGTAGTCAATGTACCAGCGCAATGAAATAATAAAAGCTAAAGCTGTACACAGTGCAATAAAAGATAAATAACAAAAACAGCGGTTCACTTACCAAACAAACATGTTTTAAAAATTATAAGAAAAGACATGAACAAGTCTTCAGTCACAGTAATGGAAAAACCCTCACATAGTTAATTAAATAAATGAAAGTGCATAACAGTTATTATTCAATGATCAGCAGGGGGTTGATATTTTTAATGAATACCATGATTAGATATTTGTCACTATGAGGAGTTCAGTGTTCCAATAACCCCGGGAAAGACGCTGGTCTGTTTGTTCTGCTTTACCACTCCTGTACCGTCTACCGGGCAGTGAAGTGGACAGTGGATGGCTGGGGTAAGAGGGGAGATTTGTGATTTTCCAGACTCTCGAGAGGCACTGAGAGCACGCAATGTTCCTCCAAGGAGGGCAAAGAGCACCCAGTGACTCTCCCTGCTGAACATATTAACCTCTGCAGAGATTTCCTATCTGTACAGCTGGAATACCATATGGTTACGCAGTATGCAATGATACTCTCGTCTGAGGAGCAAGAGAAAGTCACTAACAGCTTCTTCTTCAGTTCCACTTTATGGAGCAGTCTTAGGAAGTGCTGCCACTGCTGGGACTTTTTAACCTTCGACATGACCAGGACAGATCCTCTGTGATTTACAATGGATATAAAAACTCTCTATACCTCTGTTAAAATGACAGGTGATGATGTGTACTGCAGCCCGTCACCAGAGGGTGCTGTTCTCGAGGTGGCTTCACCCAGCAAGGAGGCATACAGCGTTCACTCTATATACAGTCTATGGCTATAACATTTACAACTAAACTGAAAAGAATATTTATATATCCGAGGCGTTAGATATACCAGGGAGCACAGTGAAGACATTCATCATCAAAAAGGGTGCAACAATGACATTACCAAGAACTGGACATTCCTCCAACATTGATAAAAAGACTAGAAGGAAACCTTCAGGTTCTGCTAGAAAGCTGAAGTAACTCATAACCATTAAAGAAAACACTGAAGAACTAAAGGCAGCTACTAAAGCAAGCTCGGCTTCACTAACACCTCAGCAGAGCCACAGGCTTGACTTCTCCCTGTCACCCCACACTGATGGAGTTTGTCATGAAGAATCCCCAGTATATTAACCGAGTGTATTAATGAACATACTTTTCAGGAGGTGGGTGTTTCTGTATCTTAAATCATAATTTGACTGATCTAAGGGAGTATTCTTATGATTAGCTGGATATCTGATTTTCATTAACTGTAAGTTATGATCATGGAACTAAAATAAAAAGCCATAAAATGTTCAAAAATAGGATTTCTCTTGATATTCTGAATTCTGTTTGCACAGACGACTGTAAAAAAAAAAGTGCTGTTTGGAGAAAGAATGTGCTGTTACCTCTGAATGTGACGACAGCTTTGTGTTTGTGCATTATGAATGAGACTTTACAATCTTTTCCAGATATCGATGAATGCTCCCAGCCAGAGTCGGTATGCACTGAAGAGAACCAGCAGTGTCTTAATACTAAAGGCAGCTACTCATGTATCTGCTCAATAGGATTTGAAGAGCAAGATGGCAAGTGTGTCCAAATGCCACAACCAGGTGAGGATTACTGTTGATTCATAGACTAGACTCTAACTGTTTAATAGATCATAGATGATAGCTGAAAGCATCAGCGTAGTCTGTAGGGACGGTTGTCTGTTTCTAAAGAAGGGTCCAGAAGCTCAAAGATGATGGTGCCATATTTGAACGCTGGCTCCAGCTGACTTCAGGCTACAACCCCACTTCTCAGTCAAACCAGCATCAACCTTTTCTGTACTTCGAGCCTTTTGCTGAACTCCATCATGATATTTGAAACATGATTACTTTTGCTTTTCACACAGATACAGAGGAGGACTCAGATTCTTCTGTGACAAACACAAATCAGCACAATGAGCTTTGATGTGAAACCTGGGACGATTCGAAGCGAGTCAGGAAGATGGGTTCAAGTTTTATTTCCCATCTGAGGGAGTGGGTTTTAAAATTTTCCACAACATGCACTTAAGACGCCAGCTGAACCTGGAATCAACAGAAACAGTTAAGACATTAATTCCCACCTGTGGATCATGGATTCAAGGACAAAGAGACATTTTATGCTCTTGAATATGCCGGCCAATGTTGCTTTTCTCTGGTTTTCTCTAAAATGCCACTGGTCTTCATTTGTTATATGGTTTTAAAATGCAGATGTTTGAATAAAGGTGAATAATGTTAAATTTAAGACACACTTGTCTCTGTATTTTTATGTGTCCTTGTGTAGTTTCAAGCAGATAATGTGACACAATAAGCCTGATCCACACAGGCTGCAGTTTGTTGCAGTGGTGATAGATGGCCACAAGGTGGCAGTCTAATAATGTGTAATATTTACAGTTGACACCTGAGCAAAGCTGAGAGACTCCTTTTATATCAAGTTAAAGTGCTGTATAGTTTGATCACTGTTTATACCACCATGTAAAAGTTATTTTAATGAATGATCAGATTTCAGAATCGTGGAGAAGCATACAGTTTTTTTTTGTTTTTTTTTCTATATACTGTCTTAAACATCTTCATACCTACCTGCTATATGTCCTTAGAGGGGAGTGTTTTCCAACACCATTGACCCACTTTTTTTTTTCTTTTTACAAAAGCTGTGTTTCTGAGAAGCATTTCTTTGCTGTCATCTTTTGGTCTTTTGAACGTCAGCTGCTTGGTCACTGCTGGGTTACTTTTCAGGAAGGTCCTTCCTCGTGCTCCATTTGGATCAAAGCATATTTTTCTAACCCAGGTTTCACCTTGGAATAAGGCTTCCAGCTTCCTGCAGTATGATGTCAGCTGTTTTGACTGAACAGTCTTGCCAAGTTGGAGGAGCAGCCAGTTGAGACCTGTCTGAGCTGGTGGTGAAGCAGCAGAGATGTAATCATTCCACAGACTCCCCCCAGCACCCCCTAACAACCCCTCCACTTTTCTACCCTTGAATGCTAGCTCTGTAACTTTTATAAGGAAGGAAGTTCTTGTGAACTGATCTTGTCAGAATAAGTGGAACTTAAAACTTCAAATTAATCCTGAAAGATAACCCCTTTTACCAATAAAAGAAAATATGGTTCCTTTGTTCCAAATGTGCTGTGCTATCAGTTTGCCTCTGCACATGTAAAATCCCAGACTGCGTCTTTAAATATTTTGACACAATGCTCATATCCTTGTTCTTTCAACACATGCCTCAGCCTCAACAGTTCAAACATATCAGTGATGTGCAAAGCTTACCTTTGTGTGTTTAAATCCTCATACTGAGGATAATAGTTCAAGAGTCCAAAGTGAGCTTGGTAAGTAAAGTTAAGTCAACCTTATGTTTCATTCTTTTTCCTGTTTTGGGAGTAAGATGACAGGATACTAACAGTCATAGGCTGGTTATCTTCAGACAATAGAAAAAACTGGAACAAGACTGGAAACCATGAAATAGCCAGCACGTTTCTGTCCAAGTGTAGCAAAACCTGCCAACTATTGTATATGATTCTGAACAAAATGTAAAGGACACATGCACTACAGAAATTCTGGCTGTACGATTTTTGTGACATTTGGATGGAGCTAAGCAAGCTGACTTCCCAGTTTGAAGTCTTTGTGTTGGTAGAACTAACATGTAGCAAGTCTCATAAGAAAATAATCAGATAATCTATCTATTCTTTAAAATCCTTTTTTTTAAATTTCAATTAGGCTTTAGCAAGGATGTTATAAAGGCCAGAAATAGACCACCAGAGCCAAAGTAAACACCTCTTGGTCAACTGAAAACTCATGTATCACCAGTTGCAAAAGTGAGAAGTTGTTTGTCTCCATGAGAGGAGTTAAACAGATGAGGGCATTAGCATGAGTCAGCATACTGACTAATGTATGAGTCAGCGTTCCACCTATTGATGCAAAAACAACACCTATGGAGGTGAATGTAGGGTGAATGTAGCCTTCATTAGAGCACTGACAGAGTGAGGAAGTATTAGATATGATGCTTCATTGCTTGAAGATGAGATAGCCTCTTGACTCCCACCACCTCCAACCAGAAAACTTTGCAATCATGTTGCTGCACGCTGATGCTGAGTGACAGGGTACTATGAGTAATCGCTCAAAATGTGCCTGCTCTTTCTCTACTTAAGAGCTCTCTATAGTCCACACACACACAGAGCTGCAGATCAGAAGATTACAAGCTAGAGTGAGACAGTAGACTCCACCTTTGCGATCAACTTAAACCACACAATGAAGCTGTAATGGCTAGTTTTCGGTTTCATCATGGAATGTAGATTCACTACATACAAGTTAACTTTAGGAGTCTATTTTTCTGCTTAGAATATTATTTTGGTGTGAAATTTCGAATGAAATCTCAGCAGATCTTTACACAGACTAACACTGCTGTGAAGGTTTGAGGAAAGGCAAACCTCAGCTAGTTTCCCTGGCTTGTGAAGTCAGCCACCAGAGCTAATCGCGTCCCCTGATTTTCTTTAATACAGTAATTAAGATGTCTTATTTGTTTATCTTTCTGTGTGCAAATTATATGAGTTTTTTGACTAAGTGTGATCTTCAGAGAAACAAGGTGCCACGTTAGCGTTTCTTATTAGCTGAAACAGTGAAGTTAGGTCGCTGCATCATGCATTTATGTTGGGTGAGGCCATAGACTGTGGACAACTTGGTTCCGCTTTCCGCCAGTATACGGATTTGAAGCTAAAAAGCTCTTGGTATTTCCACGATTTTTCTAGAAATTAACATTGCGCAGTAGCGTTGTACGCACTCCTCCATTTGTGCAGTAGCTTAGTAAGCATTCGGCGGGAGAGTTGCTGAGAGTCGCTGTGATGACGCTCAGCTCAAACAGCGTATCCCCTGGGTGAGCTACACAATCTTCGTATGCCCATAGGCTGTATCAAGTGTCAATCGTAGAAAACATAAACCCCCTAATAACTTTTAAAAATGGAGCTTCACAGAAAAAAGAGGAATGGAGCACAAACCAGTCTTACAGTAACTGCATGTCAACATCACAAGCAGAGGAGAAAAATTTATATTCTGTGTAATAAATTTCCAAAGTTTGTCCACAGCTCCATAAGGATTGCTGGAGGAGGCGGGATTTATGACCTATACTGCAGCCCATCACCAGAGGGTGCTGTTCTCAGGGTTCTCACGTTGGAAGGCTGTTCATTTGATTCATTTTCAGATACTATAAAAACACATTTTTCAGGATCTTGTTTTGATTGTCAGCGTTTTGAACTTGTGACCTTCCTTCTAAGCGAGTCCTCTGACCGCTGGTCTTGCCTGCTCTTGTAATTTGAGCGTTGTTTATTCCTCCTGCAGTCCTTTTCTTTTGTGTGGCATAGTGAATCTCTGGTAGGATTTCATGAACTGTGCGCTAAAGAGCAGACTGCATTTGTGTTTCCGCACATGCACCGTGTTGACGTCCACTGTGGCAGCATGTGCACGAACACTCTGTGGTCTGAGGGGCAGTCTGCCCTTTTCTCTTAACTTTGTAGTGGTTTTCTTCTGCCAGTAAACCTCAGCTGTGGAGCACATGGTCCAGCTGTAGCCGGGTGACTATGAGGACACTGACAGGGTTCCTGCGGAAACCTGCAGAGCAAGAAAATGGACTGACACTAAGCTGATAGCCCTTTAATCTCCTCCTTTCCTCTCTATTTAAGCAGGACAGGTCACCCTCTCCTGCGCCATAGCAACTCCGGTTCTCCACCTCATCCTCATTCATCAGCTGTGAAATCTCAGGGCTGGCTTTTCCCAAAGCTATCCTTAAACAACCATCCTCTTTGTCCCATTGTAAAGGCAGTGGGATCGAGATAATCATAGTGCTGAGGTACCATAAGGGAAACTGCATGCTAAAGTTGAAGCCAGATGTGGCACCATGTGCTTTTGTTCAGCTGTCAGTGGCCTGTGCTGCCTCTAATGTCGGGCACTCCTTAAACTTGCTGCCCTCTCTGATGCGGTTATCTGCCTGCCTTTCACCCAGCTGGATGCTTAACCGCCAGCTATTAACCAAGACAAATTGGAAACTCTACAGAGGAGCTCCACTACAGACCCTGAGAGGCTGTTTGTGGATAGTTCCTTGAGGGCACTGTGACGGCAGTGAAGCATTTCTTGGCGAATGAACAGACATCAGCACTCATAATCCAAAATAAAACCCAGACTTAGGTAAGAGGTAAAAGCATTAGAGAACAGAGCAGCTGCTGCCTGACTGAAAATGAAAAGAAGAAAAGAGGTTGAACGTTTGTTCTGTGCAAAGACGTTTGACTTGTCAGTCTGTGTAACACCTGAAACACAACTGAATCAAACTCTGGGTTTAAATAAATCTAATGGTGCTCTCAAAACCTCAAACACTTCACATTCTGACAAAAGGCAGCAGATAAGCTCAGGTGCAGATAAACCGGACGTCTCTACGAGTCTCTAGATGAGCCATCCTCTTGTTCAGGTCGTATATTTCAGCTGATTCTTTCATTGGCAAGAATATATGACTTCCGAGCATTTAAGAGCCCTATATCGTCTCTTGTTGTAATTCAACTGAGTGTCATTGAGCATTTACAAAATCCAACAAGTTAGATGTCAAAATATGCTACAAAGTAAATGCAGTATTATTTATTTCCTCTTGTCTTTTTTCCAACTGTCATCCTTTTTTTTTGCTCTTCACAGAGGAAAATACTCAGCTCCATTGCAGCTCAGTGTTTAGCCACTGCTCCATATAACCCTAAAATGAAGAGACTATAACTTTGAAACCAATGCCAGTACAGTATGGACGAAACAGCAGCCATTCCTCATGTACCCATAATCTGTAGAGCTCCCCCTGCTGGCTAATTGCAGCACAGGTCTTCATGCTTTCTGTGATGGCAGTCAATTCTTATTATAGAATTTATATTATAGGTTGATGGATCTATGGACAGATATTGGTGAGAGACCTTGACCTCAAGTAGCAAAGTCATTGAACTTTCAATACCCTTTACCATTACCATTGCCTGCTCCAGATCCACACTGGGCTGTACCTGTATTGCTGATGCTCTGGGAAGGGCTGAGTTGTCAGTCCCTCTGCTTAACCTGACAGATTGCTCTCCATCGTTGCAAAAAGTCAGAATCAGTCAAAGCAGTATTTTGGCTCTACATCCCACAGTGGGAACAAATGAACTGTAGGCCTCCATCACTCATAGTTGTTTGATCCACTCCACTCTTCAGTATTGTTAAGAGCAGCTTTGAAATAATTTCACATTAATTACAAAGTGG